AACTGAAAGAGGAGAGTGAAAAAGCTGGCTTAAAACGCAACAGTCAAAAAACTAACATCATGGCATCTGGTCTCATCACTTCATGGCAAATAGATGGGGAAACAATGGAAACAGTGACAGACTTTATTTTTGAGGCTGCGAAATAACTGCAGATGGTGACTGCAGCCATGAAATTAAAAGATGCTTGTTTCTTGGAAGAAAAGCTAAAACCAACCTAGACAGCATATTAAAAAGCAAAGACATTACTTTGTCAATAATGGTCTGTCTAGTCAAAGCTACGGTTTTTCCAGTAGTCATGCATGGATGTGAAGTTTGCACCGTAAAGAAAGCTGAGTGCCAAAGAATTGATGCTTTTAAACTATGGTGTTGGAGAAGACTCTTGAGAGTCCCTTGGACTGCAAGGAGACCCAACCAATCCATCCTAAAGGAAATCAGTCCTGAATATTCACTGGAAGGACTGATGCTGAAACCAAAGCTCCAATACTTTCACCTGCTGATGCAAAGGACTGACTCATTGGGAAAGACTCTCATGCTGGGAAAGATTGACAGCAAGAGGAGAAGGGGACAACAGAGGATGAGATGGTTGGATGGCATAACCGACTCAATGGACATGAATTTGAGCGAGTTCTGGGAGTTGGTGATGGACAAGGATGCCTGGCGTGCTGCAGTCCATGGGGTTGCAAAGAGTTGGACATGACTGAGCTACTGAACTGAACTGAACTTGTCTAGTTTTGGTATCAGGGTGATCTTGGCTCTGTGAAATGAGTTAGAAAGTGGAATCCAGGTCTTCTGTATTACAGGCAGATTACCATCTGGAAAAGATGTGTGTGCTGTAGTTCACGGGGTTGCAAAAAGTCCGACATGACTTCTCAACTGAACAACTCCCTACAGAGATGCTTTACTGAACAAAAATGACAAAGGAAGAGAAAAAATGTTTTTTCCATTTTTTTGGGAAACCACTAGCATAAGTGATTTTAAAAAGGAAAACATAAAAATAACCAAAATGAAGAATGAAATGGAAGTATTACTGTATATGTTATAAATAACTACAAAAATACTAAGAATTTATTATTAAAAACTTTATAGCATTATAGCAATAAATTTTAAAAAGACAAACTCCTAGGGAAAAATTTACCAAAATTGACTTCAAGAATAAAAGAAAAATTAATAATCATATAACATGAAAGATTAATTACTAATCAAAAACCTACCCAAACAGAACTATTATGCTCAGATGGCTTCTTTTGTGACTACCACTAGACATGAAAGAAATATGCAATTCCAATGTTACATAAGCTATTTTAGGATTTAGAAAAACAAAGAATACTTTTCAAATTACAAGGATAATTTGACATTGAAGCCTGACAATGCCAGTATGAGAAAACAAAACTATCATTAGTCTCACTCATAAATAGAGATTAATAAATTGTAAACAAAGTTTACAAAAATAAAATTTCTATTTCTATTTTATTAGAAAAATTAAAATAATAATATTTCATGACCAAGATGGGTTTAATCCAAAATTCCGGGTTTCATTTAATATTATAAAATTCAACTCCTGTAATTCACCACACTAACAAATTAAAAGAGAAAACTCAGATGACCTACCTTAAGAGATACATAAGAATTGTTTGGAAAATTCATGATAAACCAAATAAACAAATATAAATTCAATCTTTTTAGCAAAAAAGGAATAGAAGGCAATTTCCTTAGACTGGTGAATGGTATTTATGAAAATCCCACACCAAATTCACACTTGTTTATGAAGCTCTTTCTATAAGAAATACCCTATCTCTGGAATTCAAGGTTGGGAAGTAGAAGAGTAGGGCTCTATCATATGTATTTTTGTGACCATTCACTCCAATAAATAAGCATCTGCTTTTAAAACATGGACAAGATTACTTGTTTCCATTCAGTTCAGTTCAGTTCAGTTGCTCAGTCGTGTCCAGCTCTTTGTGACCCCATGAATCGCAGCACGCCAGGCCTCCCTGTCCATCACCAACTCCCAGAGTTTACTCAAACTCATGTCCATCGAGTCGGTGATGCCATCCAACCATCTCATCCTCTGTCGTCCCCTTCTCCTCCTGCCCCCAATCCCTCCCAGCATCAGGGTCTTTTCCAATATGTTAACTCTTCGCATGAGGTGGCCAAAGTATTGGAGTTTCAGCTTCAGCATCAATCCTTCCAATGAACACCCACGACTGATCTCCTTCAGGATGGACTGGTTGGATCTCCTTGCAGTCCAAGGGACTCTCAAGAGTCTTCTCCAACACCAAGTTCAAAAGCATCAATTCTTTGGTGCTCAGCTTTCTTCACAGTCCAACTCTCACATCCATACATGACCACTGGAAAAACCATAGCCTTGATCAGATGGACCTTTGTTGGCAAAGTAATGTCTCTGCTTTTTAATATGCTATCTAGGTTGGTCAGAACTTTCCTTCCAAGGAGTAAGCGTCTTTTAATTTCATGGCTGCAGTCACCATCTGCAGTGATTTTGGAGCCCCAAAAAATAAAGTCTGACACTGTTTCCACTGTTTCCCCATCTATTTCCCATGAGGTGATGGGACCAGATGCCATGATCTTAGTTTTCTGGATGTTGAGCTTTAAGCCAACTTTTTCACTCTCCTCTTTCACTTTCATCAACAGGCTTTTTAGTTCCTCTTCACTTTCTGCCATAAGGGTGGTGTCATCTGCATATCTGAGGTTATTGATATTTCTCCCTGCAATCTTAATTCCAGCTTGTGCTTTCTTCTCCAAATAAAGAATACCCATACACTTTCCAAAAAAGTTCCAACAATTCACAGTGACCAATATATCAATATAGTTTCATAACAACCTCCCTAAACATACAGTATTCTCCCTCCTTTTTAAAAAATTTAGTCGGTGTGAACAGGTATACTCTAAAGAGGAAACCTGAGAGGTAACTGAAGTACTCACCATCTGTTGTAGAGTTTCTAAGTTGTTCTTTACTCAAAGGTTTCTCCAAGGTAGGTAAAAAGTCTTTAACTGCAACTTTCCCATCAGAGACACTATTAACAATGTTCCAAGGATCTTCTGCTCCTAGAGAGAAAGAGAAAGATGACAAAATGTGAAGATATTTAATTGGCTAGTCTGTTCAAATAAGCACATACCAACTTGATTTGGGTAAAATGTATTCACTTTCTGGAAATCCATCTTGAGGTTTTTGTGTCTGCAATATCCTCCAAAGCGAAAGCTCCACAAAATTTATAGGTCTAAATGTTTATATTAGAAAACAAGAAACACTGCAGTACTTCACCTTTTTAGTTCAACCCATGAAGCTAAACAATAAAAACAACAAAACAGCAAAGTGAACTCAAGGAAATTACGTAATGCTACAATTGTGGGGTGGGGCAGGGGGGAAGCCCCTTTTCTTCTTATCCAGTGTTTGGAAAGAATAACAGTGATGCTGGTAAGATGTTAATAAACTGATATTTTATTAAATTAAAGTATTATTCACTGTTTTGGTTATATGAATAATCTGTGTATGAGTGTGTTCTATATTGCTAACTTATATTTTCAGTCTCATTAGTGTCTGACTACTATATTGGGGGGAGGGTGATTGTTTTGCTGTTTTGTTTATGCTGCTGACTAGCTGCATGGGCTGAACATTTAAGATAAATTATTTTTAATTTTCTTGTTTTTAAATAAAAGCATTTAATGCTATAAAAGTTCCTGCAAGACTGTTTTTATCACATTTTGTATTTTGATATATTTTGTTTTCACTGTCATTCATTTCCGAAAGGCCACCTCTGAGCTTCCCAGATGGTTCAGTGGTAAAGAACCTACCTGCCAACGCAGAACACGGGTTTGATCCCTGGGTCAGGAAGATCCTCTGGAGGAGAAAATGGCAGCACCCTCCAGTTTCTCACTGGGATAATTCATGGACAGAGGAGCCTGGCAGTTTACGCCCATGGGGTTACAAAGAGTTGGATGCGACTGACCACACATGCATTTATTTTTTAACCAAAGAATCACTTAGAACATTTGTTTTCAGTCTTTAAAGCAAAATTTTCCATATTCTTTCATAAATAATTTTTGTTACTACCTAATAGTGAGTCTATGTGGTCTGAATGACTTCTGATATTTAGAATTCATCGAAATTTTTCTTTGTGACTTAAATATTATCTATTTTCATGAATATTCCACAGGCATTTGAAGAGAATGTGTTTAGTATATAAAGTACTATGTCTGTTTCTTAAATAAAGTTTGTTAATGTTGTTACTTTAATCTGAATCTCTTTCAATCTATCTCTCATCTTTCTCTGAAGATTTATGTGTTCAGCTGAAAGTGTGTGTGTGTGTGTGTGTGTGTGTGTGTGTGTGTGTGTGTGTGTATGGTGTTGTCCTACAGGCGTTATAATAAGTCTAACTTTTATGCTAGGAAGTATTTTATGCTACAAATTTATTGTCTTTCTTCTCTCTCTTTATCTTTTTATGGTATGAATATAAATCTAATTTATTGCTTATGATTTGGTGTTTGTATAGACTATATTTTACTTAACCATTCCCCTAGCGATGGACACTAAGTTACTTTCATTTTTTCCTCCCATAAACAATGTTACAATGAGCATTCTTGTACATCTCTCTACAAGAGACTTCTCTGGGCTATTTACCTAAGACAACTATTGAGTCCTAAGAAATATCCATACTTAATTTGACAAGTACTGCCAGCTTGCTATGCAGAATGACTCACTGTACACTATTTTACCTACCCAACAGCAATTCTTGAGTACTCCCACCTCTTTGACTATGAAAAAGATCAAGACCTTATTTTTTTCCAGTCTTTTCCATCACAAATGCACAATTCTTAAATGAAAAAAAATTAGTAGTTTACCATAATTGGAAGTGTTCAAATATAGATGAAACAAACATTTGTCACAGATACCACAGAGAAGATTAAGCATCCAATATAGTGTTTGACTAGATGACCTCTGAATGAGTCCTGAGTTGCTTTTTAATAGTTTACCATAAAGAGCTTACCAATAAAATTGGAAAATTTCTGGGTGTCACTCAGAGTCTTCATATAGTCTTTAACATTAACCATGTTGTCTTCTGGAAGGAAAAGAAAGAGAGGTCACAAGCAAGGATTTGCGGACAAAATAATATTAAAAATACAATGTCAGACTTCTCTGGTTGTCCAGTGGTTAAGAATCCACTTGCCAATGCAGGGGATCCCTGATCTGGGAAGATTCCACAAGATGCAGGACAGCTAAGCCCGAGCATCACAACTACTGAGCCTGTGCTCTAGAGCCCACGAGCTGCAGCTACTAGCCCCCTCACCACAACCACTGAAGCCCGAGAGCCCTTAGCCCGGGCTGTACAGCAAGAGAAGCGACTGCAATGAGAAGCCTGTACACTACAACTAGAAGGTAGCTCCTGCTCGATGCAGCAACCAAAACCCAGTTCAGCCAAGAATAAATTAATTAATTAAAACGTATATAGTATCAAAATCAGCATACCACTTTTATATTGAAAATTTTAAACCTTTAATTTATTCTTGAAAGTTTTATTTACCAGATACTTTGGATTCATTTTCATCCAAAATGCCTTGTGATGAGATACACTAGTTCTGTGCAAAAACTAAAATACCAAGAAACTTTTAAAGCCCAGTAACTTCACTCTACCCAAAGCAACAAAGCCAGGATTTCTACTCACAGATTCTGAATTCAAACTACTCTTCAGTCACTAAATTAAGATTTATCTGAGGGGAGAGGATTACAACAAGCCCATTCTCCACAAAATTTCAAACTGCTTGTTAAAATTATTCTCATAACTGCAAACGAGGAAAGACTCCTTTTAAAAGATAATTTTTTTCTTTTTTTTTTTTCATTTATTTTTATTAGTTGGAGGTACCTATATACCATGGATTATTACTCAGCCAAAGATAATGTTTAAAATAACAAGCAAATACCTATAGATATTTGCTCAACAAAGGAACTGAATTTACTTGAACAAAGACCATGCACTTTCTTTATAAAGAATACTTATAAAGACTAGTCTTACCGAAAACCAAATGAGACAAACAAAAAACCTGATAGAAGTATTTAAATGCTTACCAGAAACAAAATCTGACTGAAGGATTTTCTCTACCTCTTCTTTAGGTGACTTAATTCCAATATCTCCTAGAAAACCTTCCAAGTTCTTCCCAGGTATCATGTCATCTTCAGGCAAATCAACAGCTAAGACAGTCTCCTCTGATTCTAGAAATAGAAAGAAGTTATTTAGTAACTGATCTAGCCTCTGAATTTAAAAGCAGTAGCCATCACTAAAGGCTTTTGTCAGTGGCAACCCATGGTTTATGATCACATCCTGAATTGAGGAATAAGAAATCTCAGTGAAGAATCCAGACCTCAGGAAATACTATGTCCACCAATATAATATACAAAGAATTCTTGATCACATTTCTCTGGTGCTAATATAAAATTGGCATAACCAAAATGATTCATATAGCTGAATTTTTCACTATAGTTACACAGAAGAGTTATTTTACTGGGATTCCCTGGTGGCTCAGTGGTAAAGAATCTGCCTGCAATACATGTGACCTGGGTTCAATCCCTCGGCCAGGAAGATCCTCTGGAGAAGGGAATGGCTACCCACTCCTGTATTCTTGCCTGGAAAGAGGAGCCTGGTGGGCTCAAGTCCATGGGGTTGCAAAGAGTCAGACATATGGATTTCTAACAGTAGCAAGCAAAATTAACTTTATTTATTGAGGTGAAATAATTTTCAGAATCACAAAAACTGTAAACTACAAAACACAGTATCACAAGGGCTCATTCATCTTTTCTCTTCAATTCTACCAAGAGTCAATTGTACTCTAGCATCTGGAATTTCGCTTCACATCCAGCCTTTTCAAAGGAGGCAGTGTTAAGTCAGATAGATCTGCATTCAAATCCTGACCCTGGAATTTGTGACCTGGAACTCTGTGACCATGAGCAAATTTTTACTACTTAACCCTTAACCCCTCTATAAATCTCACCTGTCTTATATGTAAATTGGAATTATAATAGCATCTACCTCACAAGGTTGATGTGGAGATTAAATATGAAAATATATTGAAAAACATTTAAAACAGTGTTAGACATATCAGTTCAGTCAGTTCAGTCACTCAGTCATGTCTGACTCTCTGTGACCCCATGGACTACAGCATGCCAGGCTTCCCTGTCCATCACCAACTCCCAGAGCTTGCTCAAACTCATGTCCATTGAGTCGGTGATGCCATCCAACCATACACTAAGGGTTTATTAAGTGTCATTATTAATAGCAATAAAATAATTGTCATTTTTATTATAATTATTAAAACCAACAAGAAAGTAGCTACAAATGGTCATCACAGCTTCTTAGTGCCTTAGATCCTACCTCACTTCCTGTTCCCCTAACATTATTAGGAGACAACTGCAGATGGCAATTTGAGTTTTGCCAACACCTAAAAACCTGTATCAACTCTTCTTTCTTAACCAAAATTTGGTTTCCTTTAAAATATTGTTTCCTTGCATAATCATCTTGAGTACAGTCTATTCATTCTCCCCTGTTCCATATGCCATAGAACCACGAAACAGACCACCATTCTCTGGTTTTCTGCTGCTGTTTTGAGCCTATTTTAGTCCAACTTCAATCAAAATATATCACTTCCCTTTAAGGTTCAAGCCTGATATTCAACTATACCACCCTTCTGACACCATTTTCTATTACTTTCTGATCACTCCTTCATAGTCTCTAAGGATTTTGGCACATTGATCATAATCTTCCCTCAACCCTATATCCTATTATCATCCAATGACAATAAGGATGATCCTAACCTCAGAGCACCTTGACATCTTAACTGCCAACAAGCCTTCACTTTCTTTCCAAAGTCATCCACACCAATGGCTATTCTTAATCCTCATCATAACCTAGCATTGCCTGCCTCATCCCTAATATCCTAAACTACAAGATCAGACACTGACCATAATCCTTTAAGACTGTATGTGTCTTTGTTGAAGGGAAGTACAGAACTTTGCACATTATGCCTCCTCTCCAGGCCCCTCCGAGTTCTCCAGCGGACAGCTGAGACACAGTGAACTAGGCTGATCGGTTATGATGGAGGGCCTGCTATGCTAACTCTTTCCTTCTTGGGGAGCCCTTGTTTACTCTTCCCTGTAGTTATTGGCCTTATACTGCACTAACTGGCAGATTCCAATGCCATCTCCCTCATTCCTGTGACCATCCCCAAGATTCAGGTACCTAACCCGAATCCATCTGTTCTCCTTTCACAATGGCTTAATTTCAACATTTTTTTGCTTACCATCTGAGCCCTGCTCTCTGACTTCAAAGTTAACTACCATTTGCTAAGCAGATAATATGTACCTAATAATTCTGCTTAATATGTATTTTTGCAGTTGATCCTGGCAACTGTATGAGAAACACGATGTTTTTAGCATCCTTGTTTTAAAGATGAAGAAATCAGAATGGCCTAGAGTGAGGAGGCAGCTAATAAGTCAAAGAACCACACACCCATCTTTTATCATACTCCATAGCCCACGCTCTTTTCTACTACTACACACTGTTTCCTATTGCTTAGCTAATCCAATTAACTACTATACTATGTTGATGCTAATTCTGTTATGACCCAGGTAAAATACTTATATGTAAATCAGAAAATATTAAATACATTTCTTACCTAAAAGAGAACTCTAGTGGTGGGTCTTTCATATGCCAAGAAAGCCTATGTATTAAACATCTATAAGTATATTGTCTACTTCTTTGGACACAGAAATGACTCTGCGTTGAGTCGTTTCCCTAACATTTTTCTGAGTTGTCATTCTTTTCACAAGAGTGCTCACTGATCAAATAATTATTTGAATGGCTATTCAAATAAATCACCAGTAATACTGTTTTAAACATATTTTCCAAACAAGAAACTGCACAAACCCCACAAGTACAATCTTCATTGGTTTCAGTCCTACATCTTTAACTTTTAAATCAAAATGGAAGTCAAATAGTAGAAAACCTGTGCCACTGAACTGCACATGGTCTCTCTGATATTTAACAAAAACTAAAGAAAGGAACATAAGAAGTGTCTATTAAAGAAGTAAAAGCACTGGGAAGACCCAGAGGGATCGGGTGGAGAGGGAGGTGGGAGGGGGGATCGGGATGGGGAATACATGTAAATCCATGGCTGATTCATCTCAATGAATGACAAAAACCACTACAATACTGTAAAGTAATTAGCCTCCAACTAATAAAAAATAAATGAAAAAAAAAAGAAGTAAAAGATTTACGAGAAATTATATAATATAGAAGCCTATACACAGGATGGAGTCCTAAGTCTGAGGCTTAAAACGATATACAGAATTTTCATATCTGGAAACATTTTAAGGCCAGTGCTGACTGTACATATAAAGTCCTAAAAACAAAAAAAGTTAAAAATAGGTTTAAGCGGATCCCTTTCTACAAAAAACCTTTTTTCTTTCATTAAGAAACCTGTCAACTTTTAATCAAAACCAAGCTCTGCCTACCTATAAACAGATCAATGCCAATATGTTAACCAGAAATTAGCACAACCAGAAAAGGTAAAAAACAAAACCAAAGGCATCCCTCCAATAAAAATAAATTTAACAGTCACAAGTAATCCAATACTTACCTTCTAACTTGGAGGTATCATGCATATCCTTTACCACTTTTGCAAATTCTTCAATTTGTACTTTGTCACCTTCTGTAAGAAAAACATTTTAAATAAATCAGCCTCACTGAAGCAGAAGTTGGATCCAATAAAGCAATCTTTGAAAATGTAAATTATTTGATGTACTCATAAAAATTATATTTCCTTTGTATATTGTTGAGTGACCAAAAGATTAATTTTATGGAATGAAGAAACCTTATGGCTGCAGAAATCAGGCTGAGATTTTCATTTCCAATAGTCAAGAGAAACTATGCAATCCATATCACCAGAAATAAAACTAAGACACAAATCTCAGTTTAATTTTAGCCTTTCAAATGTTTGAAGATAAAAATACTGTAGCAGATGTAAAATTTTTTCCAAAGTCAGATGGCTCTATAGCTAGAATTTCTGATTGACGTTTACACCTATTTCTTATACAAAAATACATAAGTACGAGATTACAAAGACAAAGTGACACTTTGTTTTATGAATCTGGAACAGGGAAAATTAATCCAAGGATTTAGAACTACTATAGTTTATGATCATAGGTTAGAATAAAGTATAAGCAGAAAGTGTATTGACAGCAGATAAGACCTTGCCTAGAGCTTAAATATATAGCTACAAAGGCCAAAAGGTATATGAAAAGGTGTTTAATATCACTAATCATCAGTGAAATACAAATCAAAACCACAACGAGATATCATCTCACATCTGTTAGGGTGGCCATTACCAAAAAGAAATAACTGATACTGGTGAGGATATAGAGGAAAAGGAACCCTTATACACTGTGGATTGGAATGTAACTGGGTACAGTCATTATTTTTAAAGTATAGTGGTTCCTCAAAAAATTAAATATAGAACTACCACATGATTCAACCATTTCCCTTTTTTTTTAAATTATATATACATGATGGACTATTATTTAGTCATAAAAAAAGAAGGAAATTCTGCCATTTGTGACAACATAGATAAGCCTACAGGGCATTATACATTTTATTACGTGAAATATGCCAAACAGAGAAAGACAAGTACTGTAGGGTATCACTTATATTTGAAATCTTAAAAAAAAAAACCAATTTCATAGAAACATAAAGTAGATAGGGGATTGGGGAAGGGGAAATGGAGAAGCATAGGTCAAATGGCAAAAACTTTCAGTTATAAGAAAAATAGTTTCAATAAAAGAAAAAGCATAAGTTCAGAGAATCTAATGTACAGCATGGTGATTACAGTTGAACATATGGCAATTTACACTTGAAAGTTGCTGAGATTAGATGTCAAGCATTCTAATCATTCATATACACACAAAATTAACTATGTGAGGTAATGGGTGTACATGTGTTAATTATCTTGATCTTGTTAATCCTTCCACTATATCTTTCAATCATAATATTATACACTCTACATACAATTATATTTGTCACTTATTATGCAATAAAATTGGAAATATATACATACATATAGCTACAACCAATAGTGTCTTATCTTTTATCTTTCCTTGGCTTTCAAATTAACACTTTGATTTTTAGGAACCGTACTCTACAGTAAGAGCATGTATCTTTATTGCATTTTTCCAGCTTCTGTCTTTTAGTAGGGTCCTGCCCCATTGAGCCATACTAAGTCGCTTCAGTTGTGTCCAACTCTTTGTGTCCCTATTAACTGTAGCCCGTCCATGGGATTCTCCAGGCAAGAATACTGGAATGGGTTGCCGTGCCCTTCTCCATGGGTTCTTCCTGACCCAGGGATCAAACCCACGTCTCCTGTGGCTCCCACACTGTAGGCAGATTCTTTTATCTCTGAGCCACCGGGGAAGCCCCTTAGTAGGCCCTCCATTTCCCTAACTATAAGAGCTCTGCCTTAAATATGTCAGGTATCTCTTTGATGTGGGAAGAAAGGGTAGAAAAGGATACAAAGAGTTTGTGTATCCCATTTCCCACGATTCTTTATAGTCTGTTACTCTGGATAATCTCCTACCAGCCTCATATCAACTAGCAAGGCAAGATAATCAAATTTTCTAAGACTGGTTACAAAAAGACCTTCTCAATTAAGTGTCTTCAATTTATAGCAGCTTAAAGACAAGCTTAAAGTAAGCAGTAGGCATTGCAGCTCAGTCACCTAAGTGGAGATTCCTCTGAATCCAGCACATATATTCAAACACAACTAAATTCAGCTATTTAGAATTTTAAAAGAAAGAAAGGAAAAAAGCAAACAAACAAGGAGCATCTGAGGTCCCCAGGTGCCAATGACACTAGCAGGTGCTCTAACAAAATCTGCATCTAGGGTTGGGCCTGTTTACCAACAGACACAAATCTCTATGACCTATAATTCCATTTGGTCCTTAAGTTCTTACATATGCTGAAACAGAAAAGCAACCACAGGTTTCAGAAAAGATTCCTTGGGTACATTTAAAATATATTCTATGAAAAGACATGTGGGCAGACAGAGATTTTGGAATTTGGCACTCATTCTTTGCTAAACCACCAACACAAGGTTAACCACCACAAGTGCCAGGTTTCAAAGTTAGAGCCTGAAATAAATGTTCAGACTAACTTGAACAAGTATAAATGAAAATAGCAATATCACAAAGACATGTTCTGAATCAGGTTGTCAAGCCCAAAAGAAAAGAAAGTTATTTAGCTAATTTCAGTTCCATCAGAGATCAGAGTCAGGAGAAATAGAACAAATACATCTCAGTTTAAGTTTAAAAACCTAAAACAAATAAAACTGGAGAAACCAGAAGAGAAGAGAGTATCTGAAGTCTTTATGCCTGGCTACAACTATAATGATTTCCTCCTTATAATTCCTAGTCTATGGATTCAGTCTCTCACATTCCCCTTAACTATTTTCCACATCATCCCGACATATTCTGGCTCAACGTCAACTCTCTTCATTTAGATCTTTTATCAGAAACAGGGAGGGACTCAAAAGCTATATAACTTGATATTTGGGAAGCATTTCTGAATTTTCCAAATGATACACACCTTTTTTACTTTTCAATGCATTTTTCTAATCATCATAAAACTAATTTTTTCATTTTAAATATACTGTAAAATACTGAAGAGTCAATATGGAATATCATCAACAGCCAGGAAGTAATTCACTTAGAGAGAACCTAAATCTGTTGCTTTTTTTTTCTTTTTAACATAACCTGGTCAAATGATTATTTCAGGACAATAATCCTTAAGTTCTTTCTCATATTTCTAAGGATGTGTTGAGATGCTTTAGCAGTTCACTTGGTCGTGTTACCTACTTTGGTCAGGTTCAGTCCCTGAGCTGGGAAGATCCCTTGGAGAAGTGCACAGCAATCTGCTCCAGTACTCTTGCCTAGAGAATCCCATGGACAGAGGAGCCTCTCAGGCTACAGTCCACAGGGTCAAAAGAGTCAGACACAACTGAAGCTACTGAGCACCCATGTACACTAAAATAAGAGCCAAATCACTTTGTATAAAAGGCTTAAAGTTAAAAGAAGAAATAGTATGACAGATGAAGTCCACATATAGTTTTCAATATCTTGTATATATTCGGATTTAGATGGTAAAATAATCTACATTTTACACACTATATATTTGCTTCACAAGTATATAATAATGAATATGATACAATATATGGAGCTTTATTACCACAATAAGTGGTTTTATAGACAGCTGAGTTATCTTCATAATGCATAAAATGTTTTACTGGTCTGATTAAAATAAATGCTATGTAATATTTTCTCTGGCACATGTTGCCCACAACTTCCATTCACTGTATCAAAAGAACCTGAAACTTTGCCACAGAGGAAAAAAGAGGGGGGAAAATATCCCTACTACCAGGAAATTACCCTTGTGTTTCAATCAACCCTTCTCACCTCATATATCCCAATAAAGAAAACGATCCACATGCTTAAAGTCTAAAATAACCAGCCTCAATTAAAGGAGAAAAGGGTGGTAATAACACTCACAGAGGATGACAATTTTTGAAAAAGACCCCAGACAGCATGCTTATGTTACTAGGCTAGTCCTGCATAAACATTCCACAAAAAAAGAGTATAAAAATACATTTGTAACTTTAGGGTACTAAGAATATGAGAGAGTAGAAATGATCACATGTAGCCATGGACTCTTTCTTTCCTAAATGCAGAATATCAGCAGGATATAATGGAGAATTTATTTTTAAAATTGTAATCTATTGTCTTTTTTTATAGTATTTTTGTGAACTTTTTTTTTGTTTCGTGTGAATCTTTTTTCACTTCCTAACGAGGTACAGGTGGTAGCCACCAGCAAATGCATTTTCCTAACAAATTAAATAAAAGCCTGTTTCAACCAAACAGCATGACTATCCCAAGAAGTATTAATAAAACTGGGATATAAACCATTTTCCTAACTCCCTGTGTTCACTGGGATATTCCATTTTCCATTAACATATTATGGAACTTGAAAGTAGTCAAGTAACCAAGCAGGACCCTATCAGGCATTCTGCCCTCCCAGGACAGACCACCACCTCCATATCCTCCACCTGCCTTTTATGTGTAGAAAAGCTTTACTCTCCTAGGCCTCCCAAGAGTCCCAAAAGGCTGGATCAAGAGTAAATGATTATGAAATGTGAAAATACAAAGACAAAACACAGCTAGCTGCTGGGCCAGGAAAGTGGTAAAAAATTTAAACTACAAACCAGTCACACAGCACAATCACTGAATTCCCAGTTCCCAGAAAGATTTATTAATAGATCAGGGTCTAACACACATTCTCAAGTTGTTTCTATAGGAAGTAGACTTCATCAGATGAAAACTGCTGGCCATAATCATGTAGACCCCAAATGGGTTAAAGTCAGCGGGTAGATGATGCCTGAAACATAATGCTTTTAAACTAATCAGTCAGTACCAACCAATCCGAGAATTGTGCACAAGCTGTTCATACATCCTGTAGGCCCCTCCCTCACACTGTCATTAAAACCTTTGACTCCTAACTGGCAACTTGGAAATGGTCTTAGAATATTGGTCTACCATCTTTTCAGATTGCTGGCCTGAATAAAGCAATTTTTTCCATTTATACCAATACTTTTCTCCTGAGTATTGGCCTTTCAAGCAACAAGTAGCCAAACTTGGATTCAGTTTGGCTTCATCCGGTGACAGTCAGTGCATATTTGATCAATGTAGAGAAATAATATATTAGATATTAATTATTTTCTATAGGACAGCCAAACAATATGAGCTTTCTTTTTTTTTTTTCCATTTATTTTTATTAGTTGGAGGCTAATTACTTTACATCATTGCAGTGGGTTTTGTCATACATTGAAATGAATTAGCCATGGATTTACATGTATTCCCCATCCCGGTCCCCCCTCCCACCTCCCTCTCCACCCGATCCCTCTGGGTCTTCCCAGTGCACCAGGCCCGAGCACTTGTCTCATGCACCCAACCTGGGCTGGTGATCTGTTTCACCCTAGATAATATACGTGTTTCGATGCTGTTCTCTTGAAACATCCCACCCTCGCCTTCTCCCAGAGTCCACAAGTCTGTTCTATACATCGGAGTCTCTTTTTCTGTTTTGCATATAGGGTTATCGTTACCATCTTTCTAAATTCCATATATATGAGCTTTCTTTATATTTCCTAAATGTATATACTGGCATATCAGCCAAATACAAGATACAAGGATAAATAAAGATTGGCAGAAGATAAAACCATATATCTTTTAATTTTAGTATTTGGAATACTCACCATCAGCTTTTGCCAATTTCAGTGCAGTTAGGAATTCATCTTTGTTTAAATTATTGTTCAAATTAGACAGAGTATTCCACAGGTCAGGGGCACTCATCTTTTCTTTGCTGAGATTGTGGAAATTTTCAATAGTATCAGGCAATACTAAAGGGTACACAAAACACATATTTTACAACATTCTTGCTCAAGAAATTAATACAGCAAACTATTATCTGGAATAGTTATGAATTGAGATTTTTATGGTTAAGAAGAACAAATAAAGTATAAATTTCCAACTCCCAAATATTAAAATACAATAACATAACATAAAATTAAGTGTATCTTTGAAGATTCTAAAATATTTCAAGAACTTATAGTTCCATATATAAGGAAACTTAAAAATAACTAAGCACCCCTAAATAATCATTATAAAGAATAACTTTCATTGAACTTTCATTGATTTACAATAACCTGAATTCACAAATACGTCCAACTGATAAAATCATGAATTAAATAGCTTTTGCTCTGTATCTCCCCACAAAACTCTTTTCTGAACACCATACACAAAAATAAACTCAAAATGGATTAAAGATCTAAATGTAAGACCAGAAACTATAAAACTCCTAGAGAAGAACATAGGCAAAACACTCTCCGACATAAATCACAGCAGGATCCTCTATGACCCACCTCCCAGAATATTGGAAATAAAAGCAAAAATAAACAAATGGGACCTAATGAAACTTAAAAGCTTTTGCACAACAAAGGAAACTACAAGCAAGGTGAAAAGACAGCCCTCAGATTGGGAGAAAATAATAGCAAACGAAGCAACAGACAAAGGATTAATCTCAAAAATATACAAGCAACGCCTGCAGCTCAATTCCAGAAAAATAAATGACCCAATCAAAACATGGGCCAAAGAACTAACAGACATATATCTCCAAAGAAGACATACAGATGGCTAACAAACACATGAAAAATGCTCAACATCACTCATTATCAGAGAAATGCAAATCAAAACCACAATGAGGTACCATTACACACCAGTCAGGATAGCTGCTATCCAAAAGTCTACAAGCAATAAAAGCTGGAGAGGGTGTGGAGAAAAGGGAACCCTCTTACACTGTTGGTGGGAATGCAAACTAGTACAGCCGCTATGGAGAACAGTGTGGAGATTTCTCAAAAAGCTGGAAATAGAACTGCCATATGACCCAGCAATCCCACTTCTGGGCATACACACTGGGGAAGCCAGATCTGAAAGAGACACGTGCACCCCAATGTTCATCGCAGCACTGTTTATAATAGCCAGGACATGGAAGCAACCTAGATGCCCATCAGCAGACGAATGGATGAGGAAGCTGTGGTACATATACACCATGGAATATTACTCAGCCATTAAAAAGAATTCATTTGAATCAGTTCTAATGAGATGGATGAAACTGGAGCCCATTATACAGAGTGAAGTAAGCCAGAAAGATAAAGACCAATACAGTATACTAATGCATATATATGGAATTTAGAAAGATGGTAACAATAACCTTATATGCAAAACAGAAAAAGAGACACAGATGTACAGAACAGACTTTTGGACTCTGTAAGGGTGGGATGTTTAGAGAGAACAACAATGAAACATGTATATTATCAAGGATGAAACAGATCACCAGCCCAGGTTGGATGCATGAGACAAGTGCTCGGGGCTGGTGCACTGGGAAGACCCAGAGGGATCGGGTGGAGAGGGAGGTGGGAGGGGGGATCAGGATGGGGAATACGTGTAAATCCATAGCTGATTCATGTCAGTGTATGGCAAAAACCACTACAATACTGCAAAGTAATTAGCCTCCAACTAATAAAAATAAGTGGAAAAAAAAATCCTTTTCTGGATAACTATTTCCTCTTCACTATACCACAGACTATGGAAGGAAATTTTGTTTTATTAAAATTCCAACAGAAAACCTTTGTAAGGTTTTAACAGGGAAGTGAAATTATCTTATTATAAAAGTATAAAAGATTATTTTATTGCTATGTAGACAATGAACTTTCTGAAGATCAGGCAGTTAGGAAGCTTTTGAAAAATGTCAGTGGTAGCAGTTCATGAAAAAATGACAGTGACATCAACAAGGGTGAAAATGATAGAGATGATGAGAAGTGAACAAACATAGAATATATTTTGAGCATAAAGCTGAGAGAGTATTTAATGATGAACTGAATGACAGTCTAAGGGGGCTGGGACCATGAAGAACTTCTAGGTTTGAGACCTGAGCAGCTGGGTGGAGAGTAGGATCAGTAGCTGAGATAGGAAAGACTAGGGAAAGAATAAGCTGTCAGAAAACAAGAATTCTTTTCCATATACAATAAGTTTGAGATAAATAGGGAGTCAGAAGGATACAGGTATTATTTAAAGCAGTAGGATCACTCAGAAAAAGCCTTAGAGAACGAAACTCAGAATGGAATCTGGGATCACACTAACATTTAAAAGTCAGCCAGAAAAGCAGCAGCCAGCAAACAAAACAAAAGAGGAAGGGACATATACAATGGAATATTATTCAGCAACTACAGAAAATTCTGCCACTTGCAACCTTGAGGGTATTAAGTGAGGTAAGTCAGACAGAGAAAGACAAATACTAGAAGATCTCACTTATATGTGAAATCTAAAAAAGCAGAACTCATAGAAACAGAAAATAGGAATGGTGGCTATCAGGGCTTGAGGAGTCAGGGAGCTAGGGAGATGTTGGTCAAAGGATACTAGCTTGCAATTAGATTAGAATGCCCTGGGGTTCTAATGAACAGCATAGTGATTATGGTAAACAATATTGCACTGTATACTTGAAAGTTGTTAAGAGACTAAATCTTAAATGTTCTCACCACAAAAAAAGAAATAATAATGTGATGTGATGGAGGTGTTAGTTAACATTATGATGGTAATCCTACTGCAAAAAGTGTACCAAATCAACACATTGCATGCCTTAAACTTACACAATATGTCAATTATATCTCAATTTTTGAAAAAGGAAAAGCCAATTAGATGAGAAGGAAATTAGGAGACTACAGTGTCACAGAAGACAGGGGGAGAGAAATTTTCAAGAAAAACATGTTAAAACCTACTAGAGATAAATAAGATAAAGACAGAAAATTGACCACTGCATTTAGCAAGACAAGATTTAACTTTTTGTAAAAAGCTAGTATGGAGTGGCAGGGCTTCCCAGCTGGTTCAGTGGTAAAAAATTCACCTGCCAATGCTGCAGACATAGAAGACTCGGTTTGATCCCTGGTTATCCTTCCAGGTTATCCCAGGAAGATAACCTGGAATAGGAAATGGCAACCTGCTCCAGTATTCTTGCCTGGAAAATTCCATGGACAGTAGGAGCCTGATGGGCTACAGTCTATGGGGTTGCAAAGAGTCAGACACAACTAGGAAACTGAGCACACATGCAGTGTGGAGTGGCAAGGTCAAAAATCTGAACAGTGCTTTTAAAGAGAGAACTGGCAACATGGTAGACTAAGAATAGCCAGATTCCCCTTCAACCTCAAACATAAACTATATTTTAATGCTAAATTCAGAATATCCATAAATAATGTATTTGCTGAAGCTTACTTATCAACATGAGAAGCAGCCCAGTTCTTTGAGGGTGGCCACTCCACCATAGCTCACCCCTGATACCCGCTAACTAGACATTTCTCCAAAGAAGACATACAGATGGCTAAGAGATACATGAAAAGAAGCTCAACATCACTAATTATTAGAGAAATACAAATCAAAACCACAATGAGATATCACCTCCCACCTGTCAGAATGGCTATCATCAAAAAGTCCATAAATAACAAACATCAGCAACGATGTAGAGAAATAGGAATACTTGTACCCTGTTGGTAGGGAGGTAATTTGCTGCAGCCACTGTGGAAAACAGTAAGAAGGTTCTTCAAAAAGCTAAAAACAGAACAACCATATGTCCAGCAATTTCACTCCTGGGTATATATTTGGAAAAACCAAAAACACTAATTTCAAAAGATAGACACACCTCAATGTTCATAACAACACTACTTATAATAGCCAAGATATGGAAGCAACATAAGTGTCCATTAACAAATGAATTTGTAAAGGAAAAAATGCCATATATATATACATACACAAACACACACACACACATACACACACACACACACACACACAATGGAATATTCAGTTCAATTCATTTCAGTCACTCGATAGTGTCTGACTCTTCACGACCCCATGGACTACAGCACACCAGGCTTCCCTGTCCATCACCAACTCCCAGAGTTTACTCAAACTCATGTCCATTGAGTCAGTGATGCCATCCAACCATCTCATCCTCTGTTGTCCCCTTCTCTTGCCTTCACTCTTTCCAAGCATCAGGGTCTTTTCCAATGAGTCAGTGCTTCACATCAGGTGGCCAAAGTATTGGAATTTCACCTTCAGCATCAGTCCTTCCAATGAATATTTACTGATTTCCTTTAGGATGGACTGGTTGGACCTCCTTGCAGTCCAAGGGACTCTCAAGAGTCTTCTCCAACACCACAGTTAAAAAGCATCAATTCTTCTGTGCTCAGCTTTTTTTATAGTCCAACTCTCATATCCATACATGACTACTGGAAAAACCACAGCTTTGACTAGATGGACCTTTGTTGGCAAAGTAATGACTCTGCTTTTTAATATGTTGTCTAGGTTGGTCATAACTTTTCTTCCAAGGAACAAGCATCTTTTAATTTTATGGCTGGAGTCACCATCTACAGTAATTTTGGAGCCCAAGAAAATAAAGTCTCTCACTGCTTCCATTGTTCCCCCATCTATTTGCCATGAAGTGATGGGACCAGATGCCATGATCTTAGTTTTCTGAATGTTGAGTTTTAAGCCAACTTTCTCACTCTCCTTTTTCATTTTCATCAAGAGGCTCTTTAGCTCTTTTTCGCTTTCTGCCATAAGGATGGTGTCATCTGCACATCTGAGGTTATTGATATTTCTTCCGGCAATCTTGAATCCAGCTTGTTCTTCATCCAGCCTGGCATTTCTCATGACATACTCTGCATATAAGTTAAATAAGCAGGGTGACAATATACAGCCTTGACGTACTCCTTTCCCGATTTGAAACCAGTCTGTTGTTTCACATTCAGTTCTGACTGTTGCTTCTTGACCTGCACACAGATTTCTTAGGACGATGGTCAGGAGGTCTGGTATTCCCATCTCTTTAAGAATTTTCCACATTTGTTGTGATCCACACAAAGGCTTTGGCGTAGTCAAAAAAGCAGAAGTAGATGTTTTTCTGGAGCTCTCTTTCTTTTTCGATGATCCAGTGGATGTTGGCAATTTATCTCTTGTTGTTCTGCCTTTTCTAAATCCAGCTTGAACATCTGGAAGTTCACAGTGCATGTACTGTTGAAGCCTGACTTGGAGAATTTTGAGCATTACTTTGCTAGAGTATGAGATGAGTGCAATTGTGCGGCAATCTGATCACATGGACTACAGCCTTGTCTAACTCAATGAAACTATGAGCCATGGTGTGTAGGGCCACCCAAGACAGATGGATCATAGTGGAGAGTTCTGACAAAATGGAATATTACTCAGCCATAAAAAGAACCAAATTCTGCCACTGCAGCAATTTGGATGCACCTAGAGAATACTATGCTTAGTAAAATCAGTCAGATAAAGAAAAATACTGTATGATATCACTTTTATGTGGAGTCAAATAAAATAAAACAAATGAATGTATACAATAAAGAGAACCAGACTCACATATATAGAAAACAAATTAGTGGTTACCAGTGAGGAGAGGAAAGAACAGAGGGAAAGGACAAAATACCTGTAATGGGATTAAGAGATACAAACTTCTATGCATAAAATAGGCAGCAACAAAGATATACTGTATAGCACAAATAATTATAGCCATCATCTTGTAAAATACAAAAAATAAAGTAAATGAATAAAAATCAAGATAAAAGAAAAAAAACAAAAATAAATTCTACAGCAGCCACACAGAATGATCAACACAGAATAACCACACACAATGGCTTACATAAAATCTAAATGAGTACACAATGTAAAAATATACATCCAGTCACTGAATGTGCTTGAAATGGTTTTACTAAAATTATTTTCTCTTGGCATTTACTTTAATTTTAAAATTACTTAAAGAAAAAGAATTAGAAAGGAAATAATCTAAAAATGAAATTTCTAGGAAAAGTGACTGACAAGCAAATAATCCTTTCATCGAACTAATCAATTGGATTTCCTTATATAGGAAACAAATTAAATTGATATATAAGGTAAAAATGGCTGTTACTTAAAGTGCACTATTTCCTAATATATGGCACAAAATAACACAATCCTACTTTTAGCACCAATTTTTAAGGTACTAATTTCATTCCATTTAAAATATACATATATGACCTTACATTTTTTTACAGTGAGCTTCTTAGTTACAAAGACTGTCTTTTTCATTTTCAAACAGTGTCTTTAGCACTCTCACAGCTTAACATATAATCTGATATATAGTAATGGCACAACAAATGTTATCAAATAAATTGGAAGATGAAAAAAATATGAACAGCTGAAACCAGAAATTTTGTATTATAGTACTCAGCTATGATCACTAGATGGCATCACTTTCCCAAAATAATAAAACATTTAAAATCTTCCCAAAATATGGATTTCATATATATGATTCTAGCTCTATATAATGAGGTGTGAGGTTGAGTAGTAAGATTATGATAGCTTTCAATTCATTTGCATAGGGAAGGTCTTCTAGATTTAGGAATCAGTAACGGAGATGATTAAGGTCAAACATAGCAGTAAGCCAACTATTTATTTGCCTGATGATCTTCAGGATACCTGGCTCTTTTAGTGTATTTCACTTTTCTAAAGTCTGTCAAACTATTTAGTCCACAAAAAGTACAAATTCTTACCTAATTTTTCAGAGAAGCGTTGGGTGTTTCTCATCATAGTATCAACAAATTGTTTAAAATTCACTTTTTTTGTTTCTAAAGGGAAAAGAACACATTTTCTTCAGTATTAACTTAAAGATTTATTGTGATAAATACAAAATTATGTAAAATAAGTTATATATTCAGGAGATAACATCATTATATCCATCAGCTAATACTAACCACTAAAGATATATGGGTATAAGGGGGAAAAGCAGTTCAATTTACAGGCAAAAACTAAGCCCTGAAAACACCAAGAAAGCTTATCAAAAATCCCTCTAGTCACAAGTGTACAACGTTTTTAACTTTAAACTTATATTATCTTGACTTGACCTTGCAACAACTCAGTAAATATGTAGGCAAAGAATTAATATGCTATTTATACATGTTAAAAAAACATGCATATATGATATGATTTCACAACAGATAATACAAAACCAGGAATTAGAAGAGAGCTCTCTTGACTCTTGACTTCTTCTATATGAGGCTAACATTCATACTAATATCTTTACTCAAGCATGCTACTGAAAGAATTAAACATTTTAATAGTCACTTTATACCTTAAAAATTCTTCATAATATCCCAATGATAATGAATAAAACATTTCTAAGAATTTTCCAGGGCCTGATATAAAGATTTTACATAAATATGGTGAGTTTTTAATAATCCTAGTCCTTTGCTTACCCCACTGAGAAAAAAAAATTCTAATACACTATAAAAAATACAGCACAGTATACTTTCTATTTTCAAGAGTAAATATCCTTGAGTATTTTACTTCAAAGAGCACCAAATCACTTTATATTCTTAGCCAAATCCATTGAGAAAAAAGAAGTGAGACCTTGAAAATTTCCGGGGGAATTCAGAGTTAATTAAGATTTACATTTCCTGACAGGAACACATAAATTTTCTAAAGCAATAAATTCTGCTCTTTTATTTTATTATATTTGATACCCTTGTAGCTCAGATGGTAAAGAATCCACCTGCAATGCGGGAGACCTGGGTTCAATCCCTGGGTTGGGAAGATTCCCTGGAGGAGGGCATGGCAACCCACTCCAGTATTCTAGACTGGAGAATCCCCATGGACAGAGGAGCCTGGTGGACTACAGTTCATAGGGTTGCAAAGAGTTGGACACAACTGAGCAACTAAGCACATACACATACATACCAAAAAAAATTTTGAGACATATATTCATTACGAAAGGCTTCTCTGGTGGTTCAGATGGTGAAGAATCTGCTTGCAATATGAGAGACCCAGGTTTGATCCCTGGGTTGGGAAGATCCCCAAGAGAAGCGAATGGCTACCCATTCAGTATTCTTGCCTGGAGAATTCCATGGACAGAGGAGCCTGGAGGGCTACAGTCCATAGCGTCACAGAGTCAGACACGACTGAGTGACTGGGCACACATTAAAATCAATGCTGCCTTGAACATGTCTGCTTGTACATCAGTGCAAATGATTTTCTTGGATTTATAGCTGAAAGTGAATTTTTCTAAGCCACAGAGATATGAAAACCTTACAAAATACTACATAATCTTTTTCAAAGTTTTTTAAACCACTTTCACCACTTTTCACTTTCATATTTAGCAACACTTACATTAACAGAAATCTTAATTTTTGCCAAGTAGGTGGATATAAAAAGTTATCTCACTGTGACCTAAATTTTGCATTTCCCTGATTCCTAATGATCTTGCAAATGTTTTTATATGATTATTAGAAATTTGTATTTGTTCCCCTGGATATGACTGTTCTTGAAATTTAGATATTTTTTCTATTAGGTGGTTATTTTATAGGGGCTCCCTACAAATACTCTAAAATAATCATCTGCTGCTATGTATTGAAAATAATCTTTACTCAGTTTGTAACTTGTCCTTTTTGTATTATCTTTTAGTAAAGAGAAGTTCTTCATTCTCATGTAGCAAAATTTACCAATCTTTCCTGCTTAGTTATTTTGAATTTTTTTTTGAAAAGTCCCTCCTAACACTAAGTCAGAAAATTTTTCCTCCTTTTTTCCTAAAACTTTTACTGTTCACATCTGGAAAGTATTACTGAATATGGCATATAGATAGGGATTCAATCCCTTTTTTTCCATCTGAAGAGTTAATTACTCCAGCACCATTTATTAAATGGTGCTTCTTTTTCCCCTTATGATCTACCACCTCATTATATATATTTCCATATATGTGTGTAGATATATTTGGAAGTTCCTTCTATTGTCTTATTGGTCAATTTCTCTATCCCTGTGCCATTCTCACACTGTTTAAATTACTATAGCTTTATAATGAGCCTTGATAATCCAGAAAGCATGTCTGTCAACACCATACACACACACATACACACACACACACAGCTACACACGTTTTTCTTCTTCTTGGCCTTTGCTCACACATACAAATGCTAGAATTAGCTCATCAAAAAAGTTAGGGTTTTATTAGAATTGTTTTGGATAAATAGATCAATTAGATTTGACAGTCTTGGGTCTCTGAGTCCATGAATATGGGGTATATTATCATTTATTTAGGTATTTGTAATGTCTTTTATAAGTTTTATCATTTTATCCACATAGGTCTTATATAACTTATAATAGATTTGTTTCTATTTCTTTTTACTTTTCATTATGAAAAATTGTAAATATATTCAAAATAGAAAGTAAATGACAATGAGCACCAAGTATACTCCCTAGATGCAAATATCAACTCATGGTCATTATTATTTTATCTATAACCATATACACTCCTCTACCTCACTCTCAACCTTTCTCTTTAGGAAAGTTGCTGCTATGTTCTAGGGGCACCTAAAAGAATTGGTGGGCTTTATTATGAACTGTGGGCTTTGACATAATAAAGTCATCCTTTGTCCCACTTAATGCCTTTAGTCCTGACTTGTGTCAATCAGAGAGCAAAATCACAAGCCCTACTTTCTTTTTGTTTACATTTTTGCCTAGGGGAAAAATAGTCTGAAAGACTATTAAGACTGCTTATTTCTGGACAATGAAATTTTAAGAGTCTTGTACTTTTGAATATTTTTGTACTTTTCTGTATTTGCTTAACTTTAATGGACTTTTTTTCCAATAAAATCTGTAAAGTCATCACTCTGAGGAAAAGAATAGCAAACTCATCCTCTTTTCAGATGTATCAACCCAGTTTTCCTGACAATATGTCACTTACCACCAACTTCAGTCAACTCTGTGATCTTCTGAAATTCTGGCTTAGAAAGGTAAACTCCTAAATTTTGAAGACAAGTGTTCAGATCCCCATAGTCAATATTTTCATCTTTAATTTTATCAATAGCTTTAATGACACCAGCCAACACTGAAAATAAAGCAGTATGCAAATAAGTATTAAATATATGTCAAAAAGAAAACACCAATAGTAAGATGAATTTTGGTTTTAACATACCAACGAAATATTAAATATTTCACAAATGTTATATATGAAAAGCATTGTCAGAATCTTTAATAATATGAACATTAATAAGTTATAAAACCAGAGTATGAAATATGTTGAGAAAAGAGAAGAATCAATGAACTGAAAGACAGCAAAATCACCCAATGAACAACAAAAGAAAATCAGTTCAGTTCAGTCACTCAGTCGTGTCCCACTCTTTGTGACCCCATGAATCGCAGCATGCCAGGCCTCCCTGTCCATCACCAACTCCCAGAGTTTACTCAAACTCATGTCCATCAAGTCGGTGATGCCATCCAGCCATCTCATCCTCTGTAGTCCCCTTCTCCTCCTGCCCCAAACCCCTCCCCGCATCAGGGTCTTTTCCAATGAGTCAACTCTTCACATGAGGTGGCCAAAGTATTGGAATTTCAGCTTCAACATCAGTCCTTCCAATGAACACCCACGACTGATCTCCTTCAGGATGGACTGGCTGGATCTCTTTGCAGTCCAAGGGACTCTCAAGAGTCTTCTCCAACACCACAGTTCAAAAGCATCAATTTTTGGGCGCTCAGCTTTCTTCACAGTCCAACTCTCACATCCATACATGACTACTGGAAAAACCATAGCCTTGACTAGACAGACCTTTGTGGACAAAGTAATGTCGCTGCTTTTTAATATGCTATCTAGGCTGGTCATAACTTTCCTTCCAAGGAGTAAGCGTCTTTTAATTTCATGGCTGCAGTCACCATCTGCAGTGATTTTGGAGCCCAAGAAAATAAAGTCTAACACTGTTCCCACTGTTTCCCCATCTATTTCCCATGAAGTGATGGGACCAGATGCCATGATCTTAGTTTTCTGAATGTTGAGCTTTAAGCCAACTTTTTCACTCTCCTCTTTCACTTTCATCAAGAGGCTTTTTAGTTCATCTTCACTTTCTGCCATAAGGGTGGTGTCATCTGCATATCTGAGGTTATTGATATTTCTCCCGGCAATCTTGATTCCAGCTTGTGCTTCTTCCAGCCCAGAGTTTCTCATGATGTATTCTACATATAAGTTAAACAAGCAGGGTGACAATATACAGCCTTGATGTACTCCTTTTCCTATTTGGAGCCAGTCTGTTGTTCCATGTCCAGTTCTAACTGTTGCTTCCTGACCTGCATATAGGTTTCTCAAGAGGCAGGTCAGGTGGTCTGGTATAAAGAAAATAGATTGAAATAAAAAAAAGAATGGAGTCTCAGGGACCTGAAGCAGTATAAAAAAATGATCTAACATCTTAACATCAGAGTCTTAGAAGAAAAGAGAGACAACATGGCTTAAAAGGTATTCAAAGAAATAATGGCTAAACAATTTCCAAATTTTTGGCAACAGATATGAACCTACAGATCCAAGAAAATAAGTGAAACTCAAACAGGATAAAGCTAAAGAAAATCATGTCAAGACACATCATAATTAAACACAGAGAAAAAAATTTGAATCAGTTCTAATGAGATGGATGAAACTGGAGCCCATTATACAGAGTGAAGTAAGCCAGAAAGATAAAGACCAATACAGTATACTAATGCATATATATGGAATTTAGAAAGATGGTAATGATAACCCTATATGCAAAACAGAAAAAGAGACACAGATGTACAGAACAGACTTTTGGACTCTGTGGGAGAAGGAGAGGGTGGGATGTTTAGAGAGAACAGCATCAAAACATGTGTATTATCAAGGGTGAAACAGATCACCAGCCCAGGTTGGATGCATGAGACAAGTGCTCAGGGCTAGTGCACTGGGAAGACCCAGAGGGATGGGGTGGGGAGGGAGGTGAGAGGGGGGATCGGGATGGGGAACACATGTAAATCCATGGCTGATTCATGTCAATGTATGGCAAAAACCACTACAATATTGTAAAGTAATTAGCCTCCCACTAATAAAAATAAATGGGAAAAAAAAAAGTAGCTAAAGAAAAATGACAACTTACCTATAGGGGGGAAAAAACCTAATGAAGATTTCCCTCAGAAACCATGGACACCAGAAAGAAGTGGCACCATATTTTTCAAGTGCTGAAAAAAAAGAACTGTCAACCCCAAATTCATACTTAGAAAAAAAATATCCTTCAGGAATGAAGGGAAAATCAAGATGTTCTCAGATGGAAGAAAATGAAGAGAATCTGTTGACAGTAAACTGATGAATGGTTAAATGGAAGATGTTTAAACAGAAAGAAAAGGATAAAACAAAGAACTCTGAAGCATCAGGAAGGAAGAATAAAAAATGGTAGGCCAAAATATGGGTAAATATAGTAGGCTTTCCTTCTCTTAAGTTTTTAAATCACATTTGATGGTTGAAGCAAAAATTATAAAACTGTCCAGTATGCTTTTAAATATATGTAAAGGATATATTTAAGACAATTATATCATACATAGGGGAGGGTAAAGGGACATAAGGATAGACAATATTTCCATACTTCATTTGAACTGGTAAATAATGACATCAGTAGACTGTATAAGTTAAGTATATATAATACCTGAAGCAACCACCAAAAAGAGATACACTCTAAAATAATATAGATAAATCAAAATGGAATTCTAAAAATGGGCAAAAGATTTGAATATATACTTTACCAAAGACACCTGGATGGCTAGCAAGCATATACAAAAATACTCAATATTATTAGTCATTAGAGAAATGAAACTTAAAAACAAAATGAGATACCACTACACACTTATTATAATAGTTAAAATTTGAAAAAAACCAAGTGTTGACAAAGATGTGAAGAAACTAGAATCTTTATACATTGCTGCTGAGAAAGAAAATGTTATAGCCACTTTGGAAAACAGTTTGGCAATTTGTTAAAAACCTAAACATAAATTTACTATACAGACTAACAATCTTTCTCCTAGGAATTTACCCATGAGAAATAAAAGCATATGTCCACAGAAAGACATGTATGCAAATATTAATTTCATTAGTACTTATAAAAGTCACAAATTGGAAAAGTCAAATGTCTATGAACTTGTCAACCATTAACAAAACAGAGTATATCTATAAACTTTAATATGAATTTATCCATAAAAAGGAATGAACTATTGATACTTACTACAACATGAATTAACCTTAAAAACATTATGCAAAATGAAGGAAGCCAAGTATAAAAGACATGTTATATGATTTAATTTGTATTAACTGTCAAAAAAAGGCACAATCATAGAGCCTGAAAGCAAATTAGTGGTTGTCTAGGGATGGGGTGAAGATTAATTACAAATGGACATGAGAGAATTTTCAGTACTGATAGAAATGTTACAAACTGGATTGTGTCTACTTCTGGGTATATAGCTAAAAGAATCAAAGTAGCAGCCTAAAGAGGTATTTGCATGCCCATTTGTATAGCAGCACTATTCACAACAGCCAAGTGGTGGAAGAAACACACGTGTGCACTGTCAAATGAATAAGCAAAATGTGGTGTACACACACAATGGAATATTATTCAGCATGAAAAAGGAAGGAAATTCTGACACATGCTACAACACAGATTTTGAGGGCATTATTATAAACAAAATAAGCCAGTCACAGAAAGACAAATGCTATATGATTCTACTAGGGTATCTCAAGTGAACAAATTCACAGAAACAAAAAGTATTGTAGAATGATGATTTCCAGAGCTGGAGGGTCAAGGATGGGTAATTTTTATTTAACTGGTATAGGTATGTAGGTATAACTGGTATATAGATGAAGCACAAGCGGGAATAAAGATTGCCAGGAGAAATATCAATAACCTCAGAGGTGCAGATGATACCACCCTTACGGCAGAAAGCGAAGAAGAACTAAAGAGCCTCTTGATGAAAGTGAAAAAAAGAGAGTGAAAAAGTTGGCTTAAAACTCAACATTCAGAAAACTAAGATCATGGCATCTGGTCCCATCATTCCATGGCAAATAGATGGGGAAACAATGGAAACAGTGACAGACTTTATTTTCGGGGGGGCTCCAAAATCACTGCAGATGGTGACTGCAGCCATGAAATTAAAAGATGCTTGTTCCTTGGAAGAAAAGTGATGACCAGCCTAGACAACATATTAAAAAGCAGAGACATTACTTTGCCAACAAAGGTCCATTTGGTCAAAGTTATGGTTTTTCCAGTAGTCATATATGGATGTGAGAGTTTGACTATAAAGAAAGCTGAGTGCCAAAGAATTGATGCTTTTGAACTGTGGTGCTGGAGAAGACTCTTGAGAGTCCCTTGGACTGCAAAGAGATCCAACCAGTCCATCCTAAAGGAAATCAGTGAATATTCACTGGAAGGACTGATGTTGAAGCTGAAACTCCAATACTTTGGTCACCTGATGCGAAGAACTGATTCATTTGAAAAGACCCTGATGCTGGGAAAGATTGAAGGCAGGAGGAGAAGGGGACAACAGAGGATGAGATAGTTGGATGACATCACTGATTCAGTGGACATGAGTTTGAGTAAACTCCGGGAGTTGGTGATGAAGAGGGAAGCCTGGCATGATGCAGTCCATGGGGTTGCAAAGAGTTGGACAAGACTGAGCAACTGAACTGAACTGATAAAGTTTCAATTTTGTAAGATAAAAAGCTCTGAAGATTGGTTGCACAACAATGTGAATGCACTTAACACTAAAATTACTGAAATGTACATTTAAAAATGGCTAAGATGGTGAGAATCTGCCTTCCATTGCAGGAGATACAGGTTCAATCCCTGGTCAGGGAACTAAGATCTCATATGCTGTGGAGCAACTAAAAGAAAGCCCACGCACCACAACAAAAGAAGCCCACTCATCACAACTGAAAAAAGCCTGTGCATCACAACAAAGACCCAGAGCAAAGAGTCAGCTGTTACCAAGACAGACACTACTTCACAAAATAGCATTGAAAGAATGATTGAATTTGTGAATGAATGATTGCATGGTGAAGCATTCAAGAAATCTATATACTAATAGCATCTTCAAGGAATCCAGAGATTTAAGCACTTACATTCATCAGAAATGACAAATGATAATATAGCTTTTAACATGAGATTCTTCATCTAGGTATAAAAGGACGTGTCTTCCTTTGGATTAATTTTTTTTTATCTGAGAAATCTTTTAGGAAGAGACAGAAAGTTCACTTCTTTTTTTTTTTTTTTATCTAACACAGCATTTTATTTATTTTTTAATAATTTTTTCATTTATTTTTATTAGGGGGAGGCTAATTACTTTACAATATTGTAGTGGGTTTTGCCATACATTGACATGAATCAGCCATAGATTTTAACACAGCATTTTAAAAAGTCAATAAAAATTGTTCCCATAACCTGTTTGGAATTCTTGCATTTGGTACTTTATTTTTTTTTTTTTTACATGTATTCCCCATCCCAGTCCCCCCTCCCACTTCCCTCTCCACCCAATCCCTCTGGGTCTTCCCAGTGCACCAGGCCCGAGCACTTGTCTCATGCACCCAACGGTATTTTTCACAGAACTAGAACAAATAATTTCACAATTTGTATGGAAATACAAAAAACCTCGAATAGCCAAAGTAATCCTGAGAAAGAAGAATGGAACTGGAGGAATCAATCTGCCTGACTTCAGACTATACTATAAAGCCACAGTCATCAAGACAGTATGGTACTGGCACAAAGACAGAATTATAGATCAATGGAACAGAATAGAAAGCCCAGAGATAAATCCACGAACCTATGGTCACCTTATCTTTGACAAAGGAGGCAAGGATATACAATGGAAACAAGACAACCTCTTTAACAAGTGGTGCTGGGAAAACTGGTCAACCACCTGTAAAAGAATGAAACTAGAACACTTTCTAACACCATACACAAAAATAAACTCAAAATGGTTAAAAGATCTAAATGTAAGACCAGAAACTATAAAACTCCTAGAGGAGAACATAGGCAAAACACTCTCCGACATAAATCACAGCAGGATCCTCTATGACCCACATCCCAGAATTTTAGAAATAAAAGCAAAAATAAACAAATGGGACCTAATGAAACTTAAAAGCTTTTGCACAACAAAGGAAACTATAAGCAAGGTGAAAAGACAGCCCTCAGATTGGGAGAAAATAATAGCAAACGAAGCAACAGACAAAGGATTAATCTCAAAAATATACAAGTTCACTTCTTTTTAAGCATATGAATAAACAGAAGGAAATAAAACAACATGCCTTTGTAACTTTCATTGCTTTTTAATCTCACACAAAAAATTATTTATATAAAAAAATTAAAACATTGCAAATAATAAAAAACTAGATTGTGGTATGACTATAAATTTGTAAATCAGTGCATGGGAGATTTTATGTATGTAAATTTTACCTCAATAGAACTGTTTCTTTTTTAACGTTCTAAAACAAAGATAAACCAAAGTATTTGATTCAAACAAGTTCCTCTTTCAAGAAGTAAATCATTCATCAATAGCTAATAATGGAGCTAATTACCGATTTGACCGCCTCATTATCATTACCATTACTGTACATGGGTATAGTACTTTCCAGTTCATAAAATCCACATAATAATTCTGTGAAGTAAGCAAGTTAGTTCTTAGTACCCTGATACATAAAGTTTTTTAAAAATGCCAAATGGCTTGTCAAGGGTTTGGAACTATTAGTACATAAAAAAAGCAAATTCAGTTTAGTTGAACCTAATTCTCCTCAACCTAACTGCTCTTTCCTCAAATGACTTTAAAATAAATTTCCTACCTACCATCATATTCAGGAAGAGTTTGCTCTTTAAAGACAGCACTCACAAAGTCATCTAATTTCACCATTCCATTTTCTGTAAAATAAAAAGTTGAGATGATACATTCTATTATACTTTTGTGTAAAATGTAAATTCACATTTTAATACAACTATGAAACAAATACTTACCCTTCACTTAATCATCAGCTTATTTCTCCTACATAGCCTGTCTCCCTAGATGAGTCTTTCTAAATTAGGTCATTTCATTTCATTTCAACAATTTACTGAGAGTATATCAGTGCCAAGAACTATGCTAGGCACCAAGGACTCAAAAGTAAGTAAGACACAGTCCCTGCTTTTTCAATGTTTATTATAAAGTGCAAAGGACAGGGTAAGGTACTCAGTTCTTAATAGATAGAGGAAAAAGGAAAGGTGCTCAAAGATATGGACCATGAGAAAGTTAATGAGTTTATTTCACATAATTATGAAAACCCAGTCATCCAATATGCTATCCATTGATACCTTGACAATGCTAACCAGCCCTAATGGACCCACATATCCCCATCCCTACCCCCGGTTATCCAGCTAGTCCAAACAACACCTATTTTAGATACAAACCCTGCACAGTGTTCATACTAATCCTGATAAGCAGAAAAAAGGCTGAAAAAATTTAGTGGCTTCTACCCTTTAGATTTTTTAAAATGGGGAATACATGTAAATCCATGGCTGATTCATGTCAATGTATGACAAAAACCACAATATTGTAAAGTAATTAGCCTCCAACTAATAAAAATAAATTTAAAAGAATTATTTTGTATTGAGGTAACGCTCATCTATAGCATTGCATGCTTCACGTGTACAACAGTATGTTTCTACTTTAATATATGCTACAGTGTACTCACTACCAAAAATTTAGTTTCCATCTGTCATCATACAATTGATCCCTTTTACCCATTTTGTTCCACCCCCAACACTTACCGGAGAAGGCAATGGCAACCCACTCCAGTACTCTTGCCTGGAAAATCCCATGGACGGAGCCTGGTAGGCTGCAGTCCATGGGGTCGCGAGGAGTTCGACACGACTGAGCAACTTCACTTTCACGCATTGGAGAAGGAAATGGCAACCCACTCCAGTGTTCTTGCCTGGAGAATCCCAGGGACGGAGGAGCCTGATGGGCTGCCGTCTATGGGGTCGCACAGAGTCGGACACAACTGAAGCGACTTAGCAAGAGCAGCAGTAGCAGCAGCAGCCAACACTTACCCCTCTCGTAACCATTTACTCTGATCTCTACTCCTTAGATTTTTTTTTTAAATCAAACCTTCTTTCTTATTTACCTTAACTAACAGTTTTGCTCAGGGGCTAATAGTTCACTCCTAATGTTATTTCTGTCAGTCTTTTCCCAAAAATGTTGCCTCTGCCCTCTCTTCAACTGAACTTTTGCTGTGGAAAATTCTTACTTAATGATAAATCAACTTCTCTAACACAAAAATCTTTGTTAGAAACTCAAACTCTGCCCTAAACTTAGGCTGATGAGTGAGATATGCTATTTTATTTCTAGATGCTATTTAATAACTGCTTGCCTTGATTAAGAATCACTAGCCCTAAATTCCTAGCTACAGTACTCCCTCTACATTTTAGAATCTCCAATTTTTTCTCCTTGGACTCCCTAGGCTATTTACTGAGAGATTTTTTTTTTTTCATTTATTTTTATTAGTTGGAGGCTAATTACTTTACATCATTGCAGTGGTTTTTGTCATACATTGAAGTGAATTAGCCATGGATTTACATGTATTCCCCATCCCGGTCCCCCCTCCCACCTCCCTCTCCACCCAATCCCTCTGGGTCTTCCCAGTGCACCAGGCCCGAGCACTTGTCTCATGCACCCAACCTGGGCTGGTGATATGTTTCACCCTAGATAATATACGTGTTTCAATGCTGTTCTCTTGAAACATCCCACCCTCGCCTTCTCCCAGAGTCCACAAGTCTGTTCTATACATAGGAGTCTCTTTTTCTGTTTTGCACATAGGGTTATCGTTACCATCTTTCTAAATTCCATATATATGTGTTAGTATACTGTAATGGTCTTTATCTTTCTGGCTTACTTCGCTCTGTATAATGGGCTCCAGTTTCATCCATCTCATTAGAACTGATTCAAATGAATTCTTTTTAATGGCTGAGTAACATTCCATGGTGTATATGTACCACAGCTTCCTCATCCATTCGTCTGCTGATGGGCATCTAGGTTGCTTCCATGTCCTGGCTATTATAAACAGTGCTGCGCTGAACATTGGGGTGCACGTGTCTCTTTCAGATCTGGTTTCCTCGGTGTGTATGCCCAGAAGTAGGATTGCTGGGTCAAATGGCAGTTCTATTTCCAGCTTTTTAAGAAATCTCCACACTGTTTTCCATAGTGGCTGTACTAATTTGCATTCCCACCAACAATGTAAGAGGGTTCCCTTTTCTCCACACCCTCTCCAGCATTTATTGCTTGTAGACTTTTGGATAGCAGCCATCCTGACTGGTGTGTAATGGTACCTCATTGTGGTTTTGATTTGCATTTCTCTGATAATGAGTGATGTTGAGCATCTTTTCATGTGTTTGTTAGCCATCTGTATGTCTTCCTTGGAGAAATGTCTGTTCAGTTCTTTGGCCCATTTTTTGATTGGGTCATTTATTTTTCTGGAGTTGAGCTGGAGGAGTTGCTTGTATATTTTTGAGATTAATCCTTTGTCTGTTGCTTCGTTTGCTATTATTTTCTCCCAATCTGAGGGCTGTCTTTTCACCTTGCTTATAGTTTCCTTAGTTGTGCAAAAGCTTTTAAGTTTCATTAGGTCCCATTTGTTTATATTTGCTTTTATTTCTAAAATTCTGGGATGTGGGTCATAGAGGATCCTGCTGTGATTTATGTCGGAGAGTGTTTTGCCTATGTTCTCCTCTAGGAGTTTTATAGTTTCTGGTCTTACATTTAGATCTTTAATCCATTTTGAGTTTATTTTTGTGTATGGTGTTAGAAAGTGTTCTAGTTTCATTCTTTTACAGGTGGTTGACCAGTTTTCCCAGCACCACTTGTTAAAGAGGTTGTCTTGTTTCCATTGTATATCCTTGCCTCCTTTGTCAAAGATAAGGTGACCATAGGTTCGTGGATTTATCTCTGGGCTTTCTATTCTGTTCCATTGATCTATATTTCTGTCTTTGTGCCAGTACCATACTGTCTTGATGACTGTGGCTTTGTAGTATAGTCTGAAGTCAGGCAGATTGATTCCTCCAGTTCCATTCTTCTTTCTCAGGATTACTTTGGCTATTCGAGGTTTTTTGTATTTCCATACAAATTGTAAAATTATTCGTTCTAGTTCTGTGAAAAATACCGTTGGTAGTTTGATAGGGATTGCATTGAATCTGTAGATTGCTTTGGGTAGTATAGCCATTTTGACAATATTGATTCTTCCAATCCATGAACACGGTATATTTCTCCATCTGTTTGTGTCCTCTTTGATTTCTTTCATCAGTGTTTTATAGTTTTCTATGTATAGGTCTTTTGTTTCTTTAGGTGGATATACTAAGTATTTTATTCTTTTTGTTGCAATGGTGAATGGTATTGTTTCCTTAATTTCTCTTTCTGTTTTCTCATTGTTAGTGTATAGGAATGCAAGAGATTTCTGTGTGTTAATTTTATATCCTGCAACTTTACTGTATTCGTTGATTATCTCTAGTAATTTTCTGGTAGAGTCTTTAGGATTTTCTATGTAGAGGATCATGTCATCTGCAAACAGCGAGAGTTTCACTTCTTCTTTTCCTATCTGGATTCCTTTTACTTCTTTTTCTGCTCTGATTGCTGTGGCCAAAACTTCCAAAACTATGTTGAATAGTAGTGGTGAGAGTGGGCACCCTTGTCTTGTTCCTGATTTCAGGGGAAATGCTTTCAGTTTTTCACCATTGAGGGTGATGCTTGCTGTGGGTTTGTCATATATAGCTTTTATTATGTTGAGGTATGTTCCTTCTATTCCTGCTTTCTGGAGAGTTTTAATCATAAATGGATGTTGAATTTTATCAAAGGCTTTTTCTGCATCTATTGAGATAATCATATGGTTTTTATCTTTCAATTTGTTAATGTGGTGTATTACATTGATTGATTTGCGGATATTAAAGAATCCTTGCATTCCTGGGATAAAGCCCACTTGGTCATGATGTATGATTTTTTTAATATGTTGTTGGATTCTGTTTGCTAGAATTTTGTTAAGGATTTTTGCATCTATGTTCATCAGTGATATTGGCCTGTAGTTTTCTTTTTTTGTGGCATCTTTGTCTGGTTTTGGAATTAGGGTGATGGTGGCCTCATAGAATGAGTTTGGAAGTTTACCTTCTTCTGCAATTTTCTGGAAGAGTTTGAGTAAGATAGGTGTTAGCTCTTCTCTAAATTTTTGGTAGAATTCAGCTGTGAAGCCATCTGGTCCTGGGCTTTTGTTTGCTGGAAGATTTCTGATTACAGTTTCGATTTCCTTGCTTGTGATGGGTTTGTTAAAATCTTCTATTTCTTCCTGGTTCAGTTTTGGAAAGCTATACTTCTCTAAGAACTTGTCCATTTCTTCCAAGTTGTCCATTTTATTGGCATAGAGCTGCTGGTAGTAGTCTCTTATGATCCTTTGTATTTCGGTGTTGTCTGTTGTGATCTCTCCATTTTCGTTTCTAATTTTGTTAATTTGGTTCTTCTCCCTTTGTTTCTTAATGAGTCTTGCTAATGGTTTGTCAATTTTGTTTATTTTTTCAAAATACCAGCTTTTAGCTTTGTTAATTTTTGCTATGATCTCTTTAGTTTCTTTTGCATTTATTTCTGCCCTGATTTTTAAGATTTCTTTCCTTCTACTAACCCTGGGGTTCTTCATTTCTTCCTTCTCTAGTTGCTTTAGGTGTAGAGTTAGGTTATTTATTTGACTTTTTTCTTGTTTCTTGAGGTAGGCCTGTAATGCTATGAATCTTCCCCTTAGCACTGCCTTTACAGTGTCCCACAGGTTTTGGGTTGTTGTGTTTTCATTTTCATTCATTTCTATGCATATTTTGATTTCTTTTTTGATTTCTTCTATGATTTGTTGGTTATTCAGAAGCGTGTTGTTTAGCCTCCATATGTTTGAATTTTTAATAATTTGTTTCCTGTAATTAAGATCTAATCTTACTGCACTGTGGTCAGAAAAGATGACTGGAATGATTTCAATCTTTTTGAATTTACCAAGACTAGATTTATGGCCCAGGATGTGATCTATTCTGGAGAAGGTTCCGTGTGCACTTGAGAAAAAGGTGAAGTTGATTGTTTTGGGGTGAAACGTCCTATAGATGTCAATTAGGTCTAGCTGGTCCATTGTGTCCTTTAAAGTTTGTGCTTCCTTGTTCATTTTCTGTTTAGTTGATCTATCCATAGTTGTGAGTGGGGTATTAAAGTCTCCTACTATTATTGTGTTACTATTAATTTCCTCTTTCATACTCGTTAGCGTTTGCCTTACATATTGCGGTGCTCCTATGTTGGGTGCATATATATTTATAATTGTTATATCTTCTTCTTGGATTGATCCTTTGATCATTATGTAGTGTCCATCTTTGTCTCTTTTCACAGTCTTTATTTGAAAGTCTATTTTATCTGATATGAGTATTGCGACTCCTGCTTTCTTTTGGTCTCCGTTTGCGTGGAATATTTTTTTCCAGCCCTTCACTTTTAGTCTGTATGTGTCCCTTGCTTTGAGATGGGTCTCTTGTAGACAGCATATATAGGGGTCTTGCTTTTTTATCCATTCAGCCAGCCTTTGTCTTTTGGTTGGGGCATTCAACCCATTTACATTTAAGGTAATTATTGATAGGTATGGTCCCGTTGCCATTTATTTTGTTGTTTGGGGTTCACGTTTATACAACCGTTCTGTGTTTCCTGTCTAGAGAAGATCCTTTAATAATTGTTGAAGAGCTGGTTTGGTGGTGCTGAATTCTCTCAGCTTTTGCTTGTCTGTAAAGCTTTTGAGTTCTCCTTCATATCTGAATGAGATCCTTGCTGGGTAGAGTAATCTAGGTTGTAGGTTATTCTCTTTCATTACTCTAAGTATGTCCTGCCATTCCCTTCTGGCCTGAAGGGTTTCTATTGATAGATCAGCTGTTATCCTTATGGGAATCCCTTTGTGTGTTATTTGTTGTTTCTCCCTTGCTGCTTTTAATATTTGTTCTTTGTGTTTGATCTTTGTTAGTTTGATTAATATGTGTCTTGGGGTGTTTCGCCTTGGGTTTATCCTGTTTGGGACTCTCTGGGTTTCTTGGACTTGGGTGGCTATTTCCTTCCCCATTTTAGGGAAGTTTTCAGCTATTATCTCCTCGAGTATCTTCTCATGGCCTTTCTTTTTGTCTTCTTCTTCTGGGACTCCTATGATTCGAATGTTGGGGCGTTTCACATTGTCCCAGAGGTCCCTGAGGTTGTCCTCATTTCTTTTGATTCTTTTTTCCTCTCTGCTTCATTTATTTCCACCATTTTATCTTCTAACTCACTTATCCTATCTTCTGTCTCTGTTATTCTACTCATGGTTCCCTCCAGAGTGTTTTTGATCTCATTTATTTCATTATTAATTTTTAATTGACTTTTTAAAATTTCTTCTAGGTCCTTGTTAAACATTTCTTGCATCTTCTCAATCTTTGTCTCCAGGCTATTTATTTGTAACTCCATTTTGTTTTCAAGATTTTGGATCATTTTTATTATCATTATTCTAAATTCTTTTTCAGGTAGATTCCCTATTTCCTCCTCTTTTGTTTGACTTGGTGGGCTTTTTTCATGTTCCTTTAGCTGTTGGGTATTTCTCTGCCTTTTCATCTTGTTTAGATTGCTGTGTCTGGAGTGGGCTTTCTGTATTCTTGTGGTCTGAGGTTCCTTTTTATTGTGGAGGTTTCACCCAGTGGGTGGGGTTGGACGATTGGTTTGTCAAGGTTTCCTGGTTAGGGAAGCTTGTGTCAGCGTTCTGGTGCGTGGAATTGGATTTCTTCTCTCTGGAGTGCAATGGAGTGTCCAGTAATGAGTTTTGCGATGGATCTATGTGTTAGGTGTGACTTTGGAGAGCCTGTATGTTGACACTCAGGTCTATGTTTCTGCGTTGCTAAAGAATTTGCGTGGTATGTCTTGTACTGGAGCTTATTAGCTCTTGGGTGGTGGTTGGTTTTGGTGTAGGTATGGAAGCTTTTGGATGGTCTCTTATTCCTTAATGTTCCGTGTAGTCAGGAGTTTTCTGGTTTTCTCAAGATTTGGGCTTAAGTCTCCTGCCTCTGGATTTCAGTTTTGTTCTTCCAATAGTCTCAAGACTTCTCCAACTATACAGCACTGATAATAAAACTTCTAGGTTAATGGTGAAAAGATTCTCCACCGTGAGAGACAACCAGAGAGGTTCACAGAGTTACATGAAGAATAGGAGAGGGAGGAAGGAGATAGAGGTGATCAGGAGGAGAAAAAGGGGACTCAAGAGGAGAGAGACAGATCTACGCAGTTATCTGTTCCCAAAGTGTTCTCCGTAGCCCAGACACCCACAAAGATTCACAGAGTTGGATTGGGAAGAGAAGGGGAAAGGAGGAAATAGAGGTGTTCCGAGGTAGAAAACAGAGAGTCAAAAGTGGGAGAGTAATCACCACACTCCTGAATAGAAATGGGAACTGAATATTGGATTCTTAAATGACCAAAATTTATATCACATACTACTGAAAAACAAAGATTAAAAATCTAGTGTAGAGGTTAGACTCTTTGAAATACAATATTTAAAAACAAAAACACACACAAAAAAAATTTAGAAATGTATATGAAGTTTGATTTAAAAATAGGGTTTTTCTCTCTCTCTTTTTTTTTTTTGGCAAGGTTGTAGTGAAGTGAAAATGAAAATTAAGGAATAATAGAGGAGTATTAGAGGACTTTAAAAGGAATAGGAGAGAAAAACAAGAAAAAGAAAAAAAAAGAAAAAAAAATTTTTTTTCCCTAATTAAAAAAATCGTAAAAATATATGAAAATGAAAGTTGAGGAGTAATGGGGGAGTAATAGGGAATTTTAAAAGAAAATAAAAGAGAAAAAATTAACAAAAATTAAAAAAAGGATAGAAAAAAAAATTTTTTTTAATTTAAAAAAAAAATATATATATATATATATATATATATAGGAATTTCTCTGGAGTTGTTGCAGTCAGCGTAGGTTCAGTTCAATTTCAGATAGCTCCTCTTTCCAGCTTACACTTCTCGATATCTGTAGGCCCCTTCCGGTGTAGTCGGTGTTACCTTCAGGGATTTTAATCTGTTGCACTGGTCCTTTCTGAAGCGGTTCCCTTTGTTTATTTGGCTTCTGTTTGCCGTCTCTTTGGTGTCTAATTTCCGCCCTGACACAGGCGGGTGGAGGTGATCTCTTATTTAGCTTCGCTAGTTCAGTTCAGTCCTGCTATGGGGAGGGCGGGGCGCTGCAGACAGATACCGCTCTGTGTGGATAGCACTCACCGTGTTCCGGCCACACTGGGTTTGCCCCGCTCACGGGTGTCAGTGCTTTTGCCGTCTACACTGCTCAGGCTCCCGGCTGCTCTATATGGAGCGGGCCCTGCGTTGAGTGCGGTTCCAGTTTTCGGGTACTCCACAAAAGCGCGGATTCGGTTGCGCCTGCGTTTTGTGCCTTCCCCGGCCTGAGCGGTTCAGGCAGCCAGAGGCTTGGGCGTACTCTCCCTGGATGTGGCGCGCTTTTTCCCTCCGCAGCCCCAGCGCGCGCCGCCAGTCGGGTCTCAGGAAGTCTTTAGATAGGAACCGGGGGCCTGTTTGCAGTGTGGGAGGGGGTGGCTTCTCAGGGGCTGAGTTTGCCCTTTTCCCCTCCCCGCTGCCTCCAACCTCCAGCGGGGATGGGCCGGCTCTTCTCTGGACTTTCTCAGTCCCTTTGTTTTGCAAACCGCCGGCAGTGTGTTCGGGCCCTAAGCAATGCCGCCCGCTCCTCTCCGTCCCGCCCCCGCTTGTTGCTGGCGGGTACGGGCGTCTGGGGTACTTTTCTGCTGGGAGTTGCTTTTAGGCACGTAATCTGTGGGCCTTGTTTAATTTTTCCTCCCAGTTAGATTGCTGAAAACTTCCCCCAGTCCCGCCAGTGCGAGGGTTTCCTGGTGATTGGAAACTTCCTCTATTAAGACTCCCTTCCCGGGACGGGTCTCCGTCCGTAGCTCTTTTGACTCCCTTTTTATCTTTTATATTTTGTCCTACCTCCCTTCGAAGACAATGGGCTGCTTTTCTGGGCGCCTGATGTCCTCTGCTAGCGATCAGAAGTTGTTTTGTGCAATTTGCTCAGCATTCAAATGTTCTTTCGATGAATTTGTAGGAGAGAAAGTGGTCTCCCCGTCCTATTCCTCCGCCATCTTGGCTCCTTCTCACTGAGAGATTTTTGAACCTCTGGGGTATCATAGTCTTGCTACTTGAACCTCTCTTCTACAACTAGATAAGCTTTCCCCAGAACCTGTCCCACACCAGAAGGCAGAGCTAGGAATAGTGATGAAGAACCTTATGAAAGAATTCTGAAATAGAAAAGACCTACCTAGACCCTCCAAACCATTCTATTATACCAAACTTCCCAGAAATCGTTTTTTCACTACTCTCAATTTAAAAATAATGTATATATTGGTGTATAGTTGATTTACAATCTTGTGCTATTAGTAGTTTTTGCTCCACAGCAAGGTGAATTAGTAATACATATATCCACTCTTTTCCCATATAGGTCATTACAGAGTATTAAGTTCCCTGTGCTATACTTATTAGTTTTTAGTTATCTATTTTATATATAACTACTTCCAATTTTTGTTTGTTCTTTCCAAATCTTCTTTAGAATGACCCATGCCATTCCCAGTTGAGAGATCTTACTCCAACATTTAATACTATCATGTGAAAGTATCTAATTTTTTTTCAAAATTTTGATATTATCAGTCTCTCACCATTTCTAGCAGTGTCGGTCACAATCTTCTTGAACTCTTTATCTGATAAAGTAATTCCTATTGAAGGCAAAATGGACTGAAGTTCTTCTGCATCAATGTAATTTTCTTGGAGTTTTTTGATAGTTTCACAGACACTTCCTAAATATACAAAATGTGGAAGACTATTCAGCAACATAATTTATGTGTCTTAGCAATAATTGGCAGCTAAAATCTTGTAATCATAAATCAAGTTTTACTTATCTAATACCACCTTAAAACTCTTCATATTTCTGTTGTATCTTACATTATACCTAATCTTTCTCTTACAGCTCAAACACAAAACTGTCTTGAAATTCTATTAGCATTTATACCTGCAGCTTGTTTCTGATTAAAATATAATGGAGTCCAAGAGATTAAAACATCAATGTGCCATGTTTAAATTTCAAGATTTCAAACAAAAATTGAGAGTTCTTTCCCTATCACTTTACCTACCATGTTTTCAGTTCACAACCTTCAAAATTACAAAATCCTAGCAGACACACATGACCATAATGAGCCTCCTTATATAATGTACTGAAACGGGAAAAATATCACCTCTGTTGTATTCTGGCAAAAATGTATACCCTGAATTTATTCATGAAGAAATACAAGAAAACCCAAAATGAGGGACATTACACAAAACAACTAGTCAATACTCTTCCAAAGTATCAAGGTCATGAAATACTGAAAAACCATCCCAGATTGAAGGAGACTAGGACACATGACAATTAAGTGTAACATGTGATCCTGAAAGAGATCCTGGATCAGAAAAAGGACATTCATAGAAAAACAAACTTTTAATAAGGTCCTATTAGTAAATAGGACCTATATTAGTAAATATTGTTGTATCAGTGTTAATTTTCCAGTTTAGATCATTATACTGGGGTTATAAAAGATATTAATATGTGGGAACATTAGATGAAGAGTAGGTAGAAATGTTCTCATTTCTGTGTAATTCTTATTAATTTAAAATTATTTAATAAAAAATTTTAAATGTTTTTTAAATGTAAATAAAGTGGCAGTCACATTTCACAGATGCTCAACCATCATCAGTTTATTTGGAGAAGTTGTAGGAGATGAACTATTTTATACTTTTCCAAATACAGAATGTTAAGTATGACAGTGGTAGATGAAGTCATTTGATTTTAGTGATACCAGCAAGGTGGATAACCACTTTCTACCACAATCCTGTTCTACCCACTGGCTAAATGCCTACTACTCCATTATTCCTTTAATCAGAGCTTTAATTCTCAATGAAATACAAAAAAACTCAGAGACAGAAATGAGACATGGCATAAAAGCAGTGCATCAGTAAAGGAATCATAATAAACATCTTTATGCCTCCTTAATAGATCACACTCCTTTTTCAACTGAGTTATTAGTATGCATTAGCGTATGTGTGTGTGTTAGTCACTGCATCGTGTCCAACTCTTTGTGACCCTGTGGATGGTGGCCCGCCAGACTGCTCTGTCCACGGAGTTCTCCAGGCAAGAATACTGGAGTGGGTTGCCATTCCCTTCTCCAGGGGATCTTTCTGACCCAGGGATCGAACCCAGGTCTCCTGCATTGCAGGCAGATTTGTTAACATCTGAGCCACCAGGGAATAACAGTCACTAATGATTCACAAAGCATTCATCTTAACAATTACACTCAGTACTAAATACAATTTTTAAAGGCTGGTAAATTTCTTGAAATAAAATAAATATAAGTTAAGTAACTCCAGCTGAGGCCTACAGAAAGGAGTGTTTAATTGGGTTCCCTACACAATATGTCCCCTGGAGAAGGGCAGGGCAACCCACTCCAGTATTCTTCCTTGGAGAAGTCCATGGACAGAGAAGCCTAGTGGGTTTTGGTCCATAGTGTTGCAAAGAGTTGGACACGACTGAAGTGACTAAGCATGCATGCACATACACAATACTTCTATGATATAAGTAGTACATGAGGGAAAAACACATACTGGTTGGGAAGTCACTGCTCATCTTTGAGGAATATCATAAAGCCTTAGGGATCTGGGATGTATACTATTAATTATTTTCTCTTGATATTCCCACATCCATAAGAAATAATACCTGAACCGTGTGGAGACTCCTTAAAAAACTGGAAATAGAACTGCCATACAACCCAGCAATCCCACTGCTGGGCATACACACGGAGGAAATCAGAACTGAAAGAGACACGTATACCCCAATGTTCATCGCAGCACTGTTCACAATAGCCATAACATGGAAGCAACCTAGATGCCCATCGGCAGATGAATGGATAAGAAAGTTGTGGTACATATACACAATGGAATATTACTCAGCTATTAAAAAGAATTCATTTGAATAAGTTCTAATGAGGTGGATGAAACGGGAGCCTATTATACAGAGTGAAGTAAGTCAGAAAGAAAAACACCAATACAGTATATTAATGCATATATATGGAATTTAGAAAGATGGTAACAATGACCATATATGCAAGACAGCAAAAGAGACACAGATGTAAAGAACAGACTTTTGGACTCTGTGGGAGAAGGCAAGGGTGGGATGATTTGAGAGAATAGCATTGAAACATGTATATCATCATGTGTGAAATAGATCACCAGTCCAGGTTCGATGCATGAGACAGGGTACTCAGGGCTGGTGCACTGGGATGACCCTGAGGGATGGGATGAGGAGGGAGGTGGGAGGGGGGTTCAGGATGGGGAACACATGTAAGTCCACAGCTGATTCATGTGAATGTATGGCAAAAACCACCACAATATTGTAAAGTAATTAGCCTCCAATTAAAATTAAAAAAAAAAAAAGAATACCTGAAGTACTATAGATATCTTCCTAAATTTAAATTAAGGAACTCTGAGCAAAAATTTCACATAGACTTCATATATACTTGGTTAAATAAATGACCCAAAAAAAAGCATTTCCAAAGGAAAATAGGCCCTCTACTTTCTCGGGAACTTGTTCAGTCGCTAAGTCATATCCGACTCTGCAACCCCATAGACTGCAGCACACCAGGCTTCCCTATCCTTCACCATCTCCTGGAATTTACTCAAACTCATGTCCATTGAGTCAGTGATGCCATCCAACCACCTCATCCTCTGAACTTGAGTGATTCCAATTAATCACTCAATAAACTTCTCAGCCCAAGTTCAGTTCAGTTCAGTTCAGTCACTCAGTCGTGTCCAACTCTTTGCAACCCCATGAATCGCAGCACACCAACAGCCCAAGTTAGCTCCCCACAAAAGGGAGCATCTGGAAAGGAACTGCTATCAAAACCACAGTATTGTATCCATCAGCCTAAATTTCAAAAGTGATGGATATTCAGAGCATTGACAATTGAAATGTCTACAACTACTAATACTTCAGCTCATTTCTATAATAACTGAAGGGCCCAGATGTTGTCTTACATATATGATACTGACCCAGAGCATTAACTGCAGGTTTTTCCTTAGATGAAACTTGTTTTAGAAGGCTAGAGCTCCTTCTCACAGCTGGCTTCTGAAGTTTTGGGATACTAAAAATATCACTTTTATCCAGAGTCTTTTTGAGGCCTGAAACATGCTTCAAGTCTTGTGGTTTAGACTTTGAGTCATGAATTTCAACTTTCTCTAAACTTTTCTTAAAGTTCATGTCATCCTTTGAATATGGTTCCTGGAACTCTATATCACCGCCATCAACCTCATCCTGGAATCTTCTTATTTGCAAAATATTTTTTGGTCTTTTAAATTCATAGTCATCATTCTCACTCATAATTTTATGATTTTGGAGGCTCTTTGTATTTAATTTTTGGAATAATGATGATTCAGACAGTCCAGAAGCTAAAATGCTTTTCTTCCTATATTGTGGATAGCATCCTGATACATTTGATAACTTTCTTGAAGTAGCTTCATCTGAGGCTGCTCCTTCCATAATTGCTAAGCAAGAGAAACATATTCCATTAATTCATTTACCTGTACAATTTGTAATGCCTTTTAAAAAATAATACTTAAGTCCTCATGAAAACTGTCCAAGAAATTATCATTTGCTTAAATACATCAGATGAAGTTAATAACTAACAGAGCTGATGACAAAAAGGTTAACTATTGACTAGGTTAAATATAATCTACTGGTTTAATATAGTAAAATACTTCCATCCGACACTATTCATAGCAACACTGAATCTAAAGCAAAAGCCTACTGAAGTACATGGTTCTCATTCCCCACTCTTTTCCAATTCAGAAAGATAATAGACTAATAAGCCAATACAGATACAAATCCCTTAGTTATGAGGGTGCAGAAATATGAAGAAGTTGTAAAGGGAAATTTTTAAATATTTACAAAGTTAGAACACTTTATAAATAAAATGATACTCTCCGAAAGTAAGACAGTAAAATAATTACTCTCCTAAAAATCTGCAGCATTTGCAGGAGGTTAGTAACTTCATTCATAAAAGAAAATTTTTAGAAAAATATTAATATAATATCCCAATTGGGGCTTCATTTACAAAATCCATCTCATGGCTCATAATAGTACCTTGCATTTGAATAACACATTTTAAAATATTTCAAATGTTACAACACTTGACCCTCAAAATAATTACATGAGAGCATCAAGTTCCTATAAAACCAAAGAAAACAAGAGACTTTTAATAGAGTAGCAATACAATATTGATTATGAAGACATTTTATTTAGAGAAAAAGAAAAGTTTCTTAGCTTAGGGTGTATTACAATGAACAACTGAAGGAAAGTGTTTGGATTTTAAAAGTTTAGAAACTTAAAATTATTATTATTCTTTTTTTGGTAATTGACATATAACATTATATTAGTTTTATGTATAAAAAGTCTAGAAATAAAAAAAAAGTCTAGAAATTCTTAAAGATAAAGACATTGACCTCTAAGTGCTACCTCTCAAAAAGGAATAGGGTAAAAATATAAAATCTTTGACATTTCTGCTATTGGCCAAGACACTATAATAGGAACTAACTTTACCCTCTGACTTTAAGCAACTAAAAACTGGACAAGACGTGAAAAAGAACAATTTTCAGACATTGGACAACAGGTAGCATAGGACAATAATCCTTTAAAGAAGGGTAACAAATGAGCTAAAGCCCTACCATTGCACTAGCTTACTATCTGGACAGTTTCCACAGCACAGGAAAGTAAAACCTAAATAGAGCCCACTGGTCTGAATGAGAAGAGATATGAGATTAGAAAGGCCGAAGGGGCTAGAATATGAGAGCAAAGAGAAAATAGAACTGCTGAGCTCTGGAGATCAGCAAAGGGGTCTGCTTGACACTTTGGCTGAGTGCTGATCTGTACTTACATGAGAGAACATGACCTAATAACAAGGAAAGAATTATCAGAAAATTATAGGTAGAACAATTCCTGTATCTCACTGAGAACTAAAAATAATTTATGATCTCACCAACCAAAGCAGAAAGATCTTATAATATATGGGTCATCTAGTAGAATCATCTGAAGAACGCTACCTTAGTAGTGGAGCTAAATTAGCATTAAAAGCTGCTCTGAGATCACCCTTTAAAAACTTTAGAAAACAAGCTTCCAAAGGACCTAACTGATTCCAAGTAACTCAACTGCATCAGGACAAAATCCAACACTATTTAAAGGAATGCTACAAAATTCAGCAAATAACATAAACTTCACAATGTATAGTATCCCATCAAAACTACTAGGCATCTAAAATAATAGGAAAATATAAGCCACAATCAGCAGAAAAATCAACTGATAGAAACTTGTTCAGAAATGGAAGAGTTCATAAAACTATCACACAAATACATTAACACAGTAACTATAAGCATATTTTATATATTCAAAAAAGTAGAGGAATATATTAGCAAGTTGCTTTTATTCTCTCTGTGTCCTTCGGCCACTTGGCTTTAGACATGGGCATTGATAATAGAACTGTGTAGCAGAGTGTTGTAAGTAAATCACTGTTTTCAGCTAAAGAAACAAAAACTAGAGCTCTCAGAGATTAAAAAAGCATTAAATAGATTGTGGAGAGGAAGTAGCTCAGGAAAATAATCTCATAAAGCTGCTGATAAACTCCTGCACTCACCCCTGACAAGCACATGAATTTGGCCCTAAACAGTACACCATAACTCTGAGAACTAAACTTCAGGGCAGACCACAACCCAGGTTCCACTTTGGCTCTGGATGACACACAAATTTGAATAGCACTGCAAAGGCTATGAAAAACAAACTGATATTGAAACTGAAAAACATAGAAAATTAACTGAAATTTGTAGCCTAAACCAAATTGAGTCAAATCCCTGCCAAAAGAAGATTTCAACATTTTCCACAGAATTTCCATAGAATCTTAGACCCACAGTCTCACAACTTAATCTTCAAAATGTCCAGGATAAAAACTGAAAGAGACACATGTACCCCAATGTTCATCATAGCACTGTTTGTAATAGCCAGGACAAGGAAGCAACCTAGATGTCCATAAGCAGATGAATAGATAAGAAAGCTGTGGTACATATACACAATGGAATATTACTCAGCCATTAAGAAGAATACATTTGAATCAGTTCTAATGAGGTGGATGGAACGGGAGCCTATTATACAGAGTGAAGTAAGTCAGAAATAAAAACGTCAATACAGTACACTAACGCATGTATATGGAATTTAGAAAGATGGTAACGATAACCCTGTATGCGAGATAGCAAAAGAGACACAGATGTATTGAAGTCTTTTGGACTCTGTGGGAGAGGGTGAGGGTGGGATGATATGGGAGAATTGCATTGAAACATGTAAATTATCACATGTGAAACAAATCGCCAGTCCAGGTTCGATGCATGATACAGGATGCTTGGGGCTGGTGCACTGGGATGACCCAGAGGGATGGGATGGGGAGGGAGGTGGGAGGGGGCTTCAGGATGGGGAACACATGTACATCCATGGCAAATTCAAGTCAATGTAAGGCAAAACCAATACAACATTGTAAAGTAAAATAAATAAATAAATTTTTTTAAAATGTCCAGGATATAATTCAAAACCACTTCACATGTGAAGAACAAAAAAATCTCAGTTTGCATGGGAAAAGACAAGCAACTGATGTCAAGACCAAGTGGAAAAAGACGTTGAAATTGCCTTATAAAAACATTCAAGCAAGGAGTTCCCAGGTGGCCCAGGGGTTAGGAATCTGCCTTGCAATGCTGGGGACACAGGTTCAATCCCTGGGAACTAAGATCCCACATACACCTGAGCAACTAAGCCCAGGCACCACAACTACTGAGCCTAAGCATCATAACCAGAGAGCCCATGCACCACCATGGAAGATCCCACAAGCTGCAACTAAGACCCAACACAGCCAAATGAATGCATAAACTTCTAAGCATCTATTCTAAAAATGCTCCAAATTACAGTGAAAAAAAAAAACCCACTCAAAATAGAAAGAAAGTCTCAGAAGACAAAATAAAAGATACAAACAAGAAGCAAATTTGGACATTTAAAACTTAAAAATACTATAATTAAAGTAAAAAAAAATTAATCAAATAGGTTCAACAACATAATGGAGATGTCATAGGGATAGTTTATGAAACTTTAGACACATTAATTGAACTTATTCAATCTGAACAGTAGAGGTAAATAAGAATGAAAACAAAATTAAGAAGTGTCAAGGATCTGTGGGACAACATCAAAGAGGGCTAACATTTGTGTCTTTGTAGTCTCAAGAAGACAGGGGAGAAAATGTGGTGCAGAACAAATATTTGAAGTTACAATGACAAAAGATCGCAAGTTTGGCAAGATAGATCCAAGAAACTCAATGAACCCCAACAGGAAAAACTCAAAAAAACACACTCCCAATGCATCATAATCAAATGGCTAAAAACTAAAGAAAAAAGAAAGTATCTTGAAAGCAATCAGAGAAAAAAGTCTATTTTATTATTTGGATAACATCAGATTTCTCTTCAGAAACTGTGGAAGTCAAAAGTAAAAAGAAAATTTTTAAGTATTGAAAGAAAATAACTGTCAACTCAGAATCCTATATCCAATAAAAATATCCTTCAGAAAGTAGAGAAAATAAAGATATTCTCAGATGAAGAAAAATTAAGCTAATTCATTTTTAGTATATCTGCTCTTTTAAAAAACGATTAAAAGAAGTTTTTCATATAGAAGCTTAATCCTTTAAAATTATTAAAAGAATGATATTCAAAAGACATGTAGGCAGTCAATATGAAAGAAGGAAAATATATAATGGCAAAGATTTGGTTAAATATAAGACTATTCCTCTCCTCTTGATAGTTTAAAATACGTTTAATCATTGAAAGCAAAACATTATATTATCTGGTATGCTTTCCAAGAATGTAGTTGTAATACATAAGAAAATCAGAACATAAAATCAGAAGGTAAAAAGACCTACACAGTGGTAAAATTTCTATATTTTACTTGAAAGTGGTAAAATATTTACTTTAGTATACTTTAAGGTTAAATAAAGATACCCTGCTATTTAACTTATATGCAGAGTACATCATGTGAAATGCCAGGCTGGATGAAGCACAAGCTGGAATCAGGACTGCCAGGAGAAATATCAATAACCTCAGATATGTAGATGACACCATCCTTATGGCAGAAAGTGAAGAGGAACTAAAGAGCTTATTGATGAAAGTGGAAGAGGAAAGTGAAAAAGTTGGCTTAAAACTCAACATTCAGAAAACTAAGATCATGGCATACAGTACCATCACTTCACGGCAAATAGATGGAGAAACAATGGAAGCAGTGAGAGACTTTATTTTCTTGGGCTCCAAAATCACTGCAGCTAGTGATTGCAGCCATGAAATTAAAAGATGCTTGTTTCTTGGAAGAAAAGCTATGACCAACTTAGACAGCAAGTTAAAAAGCAGAGACATTACTTTGTCAACAGAGGTCTGTCTAGTCAAAGCTATTGTTTTTCCAGTAGTTAAGTATGGAT